CCAAAAAAAAAAAAAAAGCCCAGGACCAGATGGTTTCAGCACAGAATTCTACAAGATTTTCAAAGAACTAATATCAACAGAAACAGAAGGAACATTTATGAGGCTGCAATTACCCTGATTCCCAAACCACACAAAGAAAGGGAATTACAAACCAATAGCACTCATGGACACTGATGCAAAACTGGTCAATAAAATACTGGCAAAATGAATCCAAAAATGCATCAGAAAAATCATCCACCATGATCAAGTTGGCTTCATCCCAGAGATTTAGGGATGGTTCTACAAATGAAAATCAGTCAATGTAATCAACCATATAAACAAACTGGAGGGAAAAGAAAAATAACCCACATGATCATCCTATTAGATGCTGAAAAAGCCATCGATAAAATACAATATCCCTTCATAATAAAGGTCTTAGAGAGAGCAGGAATATAAGGAACATACCTAAACATAATGAAGGCAATATACAGCAAGCCAACAACCAACAAACTAAATCGTGAGAAACTCAAAGCAATTCCACTAAAAGCAGGAATAAGACAAGGTTGTCCACTCTCTCAATACCTATTCAATAAAATACCCAAGGTTCTAGCTAGAGGAATAAGACAACAAAGTAAGAACAAGGGGACACAAATCAGAAAAGAAGTCAACTCTCACTATTATTTGATGGTATAATAGTTACATATGTGACCCCAAAAATTCTATCAAGGAACTTCTACAACTCATAAACACCTTCAGTAATGTAGCAGGATACAAGATTAACTCTAGCCCTCTTTTACACAGATGATAAATGGGCTGAGAAGGAAATCAGGAATGGGAGGAGGGGAAGGAGTGGGAACTTGGATTGGTATGTATAATGAAAAATGAGTTTGTTCTCTTTTAAAACAAAACAACAACAACAACAAAAAGAAATCAGAGAAACATCACCCTTCAGAATAGCCACACATAGCATAAAACATCTTGGAGTAACTTCAACCAAACAAGTGGAAGACTTGTATGACAAGAACTTTAAATCTTTGAAGAAAGAAATTGAAGAAGACACCAGAAAATGGAAAAATCTCCCATGTTCTTGGGTAGATAGAATTAACATAGTAAAAATGGTAATCTTACCAAAAGCAATCTACAGATTCAATGCAATGCCCAGCAAAATCCCAGAAAAATTCTTTACAGACCTCGAAAGAATAGTCACTGTATATGGAAAAGCAAAAAACCCAGGAGAGCCAAAACAATCCTGTACAATAAAAAAACTTCTGGAGAAATCACAATCCCTGACTTCAAACTCTACTACAGAGCTAGAATACTGAAAACAGCCTCATATTGGCATAAAAACAGACAGGAGGACCAATGGAACCGAAGACCTAGATATCAATCCACACACCTACAAACACCTGATATTCGACAAAAAAGCAAAAATATAAAACGGAAAAAAGAAAGCATATTCAGCAAATGATGTTGGCATAACTGGACATCAACATGCAGAAGAATGAAAATAGATCCATATCTATCACCATGCACAAAACTCAAGTTCAAATGGATCAAAGACCTCAACATAAAGCCAGCCACACTGAACCTTACTTACAGAAGAGAAAGTGGGAAGTACACTTGAACGCATTGGCACAGGAGATGACTTCCTAAATATAACCCCAGTAGCACAGACACTGAGAGAAACAATAAATGGGACCTCCTGAAACTGAGAGGCTTCTGTAAAGCAAAGGACACCGTCAGTAAGACAAAACGGCAGCCTACAGAATGGGAAAAGAGCTTCACCAACATCAGACAGAGGGCTGATCTCTAAAATAAACAAAGAACTCAAAAAATTGGTCATCAAAAGAACAAATAATCCAAAAAAAAACAAACAACAACAACAACAAAAAACACGGGGTACTACAGACCTAAACAGAGAACTTTCAACAGATGAAATCTAAAATGGCTGCAAGATGCCTAAGAAAATGCTCAACATCCTTATCCATCAGAGAAATGCAAATCAAAACAACTCTGAGATTCCATCTTACACCTGTAAGAACGGCCAAGATCAAAAACAATGATGACAACTTATACTGGAGAAGATGTGGGTTAAAGAGAACACTCCCCCATTGCTGGTGGGAGTACAAACTGGTACAGCCCCTTTGGGTATCAATATGGCGATTTCTCAGAAAATTAGGAAACAACCTTCCTCAAGACCCAACCATACCACTTTTGGGTATATATCCAAAGGATGCTCAAGTGTACCACAAGGACATATATGTGCTCAACTATGTTCATAGTAGCATTGTTTGTCATAGCCAGAACCTGGAAGCAACCTAAATGCTCCCCACTGAAGAATGGGTAAGGAAAAAAAAAAAAAAAAAAAAAGAATGGGTAAAAAAAAAAATGTGGTACATTTACACAATGGAGTACGACACAGCAGAAAAAATAATGGCATCTTGAAATTTGCGGGCAAATGGATGAATCTAGAAAACATCATATTGAGTGAGGTAACCCAGACCTAGAAAGACAAGTATCGTATGTACTGACTCATAGCTGACTTTTAGACATAAAGCAAAGAAAGACCAGCCTACATTCACAATCCCAGAGAACCTAGACAACAATGAGGACCCTAAGAAAGACATACATGGATCTAATCTACAGGGGAAGTAGAAAAAGACAAGATCTTCTGAGTAAATTGGGAGCATGGGGACCAAGGGAGAGATAAAAGGGGAGGGAAGTGGAAGGAAGAGGAGTCAAGAGAAACATATAGCTCAATAAAAATCAATAATAAAAAAAAAAAGAACAGGGTTTATTGGTGCATTTGTCCCAGCACTTCAAGTGATTTTCTATGGAGTGCTACATTCAAATTGTTGCATTTGACACAAATAAGAGTCACAAGAAGCTAAAAGCTCTCTCTAGCTGGTAATACTCTATACCTGTACAAGGACAACGGTCCTGTACAAACACAATGGTCCCTCTGTCCCAAGGATATCTAATCTATTATATCTGTCAGAAGAAACAGAAAGATGACTTATCTTTTTTTTCTATGCAAAAGTTGATGCACATTTATGATCCTGAAAAAACTTAACAAAACATATAGGCAACTAAAGAGTAATGTTTATTAGTGAGTAAAACTGTCTATTCCCTTCTCATCTAACACCTGAAAGGATTGGGTCTAGAGAAATAGTTCAGCAGGGTAAAGAGACAGGAGATCCCTAGAGCTAAGGCAAGCTCCAGGTTTAGCTGAGACTTTGCCTCAATCAATAACTGTGTAAAGTGAGAGGAAGACTACCAACAGCCTACACACACACACACACACACACACACACACTCACACACATACTACACACAGGCACCTGCAATTAAAATGAATGAATGAAAGGGTCTCAGATGTGGTGTTCTGATCATATGGAGCCAGGAAAAGCACAAAAGACTCTAATCTTGCATCTCAAGAAGCACTTAAATGTCACCTTTTATCTGACCTATGATCTCATCCAAGATATATTTCTTATCCCATCAACAAAGACAAACTGCATATACCAAAGATCTAAAAAAAATTTAGAAGACAGAAGAATTAACTTCAGACTGTCTGCCTGACCCTTCTTCTAGACATTCAATGCATTTAAATGTCTCATTCTCAAATTGATTAAGATGACCAGTCCTGTAGCCAAGACTGACAATCTGAGTTCATTTCCCAAGACCCACAGACAAAAAGAGAAAACTGACCTATAGTGATATTTCATTGTATTTTAATAAATAAAGCTTGCCTGAAGATCAGAGAGTAAAACAACCATCCTGGTCAGTCTTACAGACCAGGCAATGGTGACACACACCTTTAATCCCAGCAGCCACACTAGTTTGCCACAGAAACCAGGCAGTAGTGGTATACATCTTTAATCCCAGCCCTAAAGAATATAGAACGGGAGGAGACAGTTCTCAAACACAGTCCCATTCTGAGATTCCTGAAGGCAGGATCATCATTTCGGACTGAGATAGAGGTAAGAGCAAGTGGCTGGCTGCTTTGCTTTTCTGACCTTCAGGTTGAACCCCAATATCTGTCTCTGGGTTTTTACTAATCGTGTTACACTGACCCCCACAAGATGCCTCTGCCCTCTGGACATGAGCATGCACACACTTGCACACAAATGTTTAAGAATGCTTTCATTCTAAGCTGCTCCTGACTGAGACTTATATGCATTTTATAAAAGTTCATAAAGGACAGAGTTCTTTACAAGGCTGCTGTGAGTCTCTTACCTTGCTGATGAATGTGGGCTTCAACCTAGCAGTAGCATAGCAAGGATTGAAATACTTAGCTAGTGTTCGCTGCCAAAAGAAAAAAAAAAGTTTCAATTTACTGTTCAGGCTTCAAACAAAAGTTTTCAGTGCTTACCCTATGCCTAGCCCCAACGTACTGCACTATTTACATACCTTCCTAATCATTCTAGGCTATTGAAAATAAGATTCTTCAAACTGTACATTTGTCAAGTCCTACAAAATTACATACAATTGTTCTCACAAAGTTTGCTTCATCACATATGTTCCCCAAAAAAACTTATGTTATTCTCTTTTACAGGTTAAAAAACAAAATAAATAAACTATAGCTCTATCTTTCCTGGGAACCAAAGAAGATAATGCTATACTTATGCACTCAAATATTTATAGAACTAATAAACTAGGATGTAAGCAAACCATTCCATTCTTCTATGGCATATTAAAAAATAATGTCTGGACCATTCATGGTGAGGCTAAATGAAACAATATATAGCTTGGAGCTATGAAACACCTCTAAGAATGAGCTGTTTGGTGCCTGGCAAGCTGCCCTGGGTTTCATATATACCATCAACTAAAATTAGTTTTTGTTCTCTTTGAGATTAGGATCTCATTGTAGCTCCATAAACCCCAGACTAGCCTCAACCTCATAAAGATTCACCTACTTCTGCCTCTGGAATGCTGAGATAAAAAGCATGTGTCATCACGCCCAGAAAGAAATCCATCTTTCAAAACAGACTATGAGTGTGTTCAAATTGCAGGGTAATTTTTTTCAAGTTCCCATTAAAAAATAATTACTATAAATTATTCTCATAAAGCAAAATTACATTCAATAGAGTGAATATTTATAAGTAATGCTAAAGGAGTATTTTGTGAAACTTACCGGTGTTGGCAGAGTTCGGTATCTGACATAAAACACTGCAGCGATCAACATTACATCTCTTGAAATTATCATGTAAGTGAGTGGGACTGAAAATCAAATATAAAAACCAGAAATGAGGAGTCGGAAAATTACAAATAGATACTTTGACTGCAGAAAAGCCTCAATCAGCCTCATACTATTTGATGTTTTCCGTAAGTAAAATCTTTGTAATAAGTACTTATTAATGATTCAGGCCCCTACAGTGAAGCTCTGCTCTTTTTATTCCTTCTTGTGATCAGAATGAACTGCAGACTCTGGCTCTGTGACTTCTCTGCTCCAGAATTCCAACCCGCTCACCACTTCCGTTCTCTCCTGTGTCTGTCTATAAACTGCAAGCCTGCACATAGGCGAGCCACACTCAGCCTCCCCGTCCCCACTCTCCTCAGCTTTGTGATTCTGGGAAAAAGATGTCCTGGTCACTGGAAATGAATGTAAAGTAACGATAGGGAGCTGAATGGAGATGTAAGGGAAGTTAAAATATCCTGAGGTCCTTGTATCTGAATTGTAGTCTACTCTCTAGAGAGCGTTTACATATATATAGCTTACAGAAATACAAAATGTATTCACTCTTGTTGGGCTAGTTCCTCCCCACACAACTATTATTCTTCTCCCTACCTCGCCTGTCAATCAATTCTTATCACAGGCTGAGTCTCCCTTATCCAATGTGCTTGGACAAGAGATGTTTCAGATTTCAGTTTCTTGGATTTTGGAATATTTGCACATTGCCAGCTGAACATTACTAACCCCCAAACAATCCAAAACCCCAAGTTGCTTGCCACTGGGGATACTCAACTCATATTCCTCAGATTATCCAGCATGGTCCCAGGACCACAGTCAACAGGAGGTTGTGTTAGATGGGAAGACAGAGAACTTACTTCTGTACCATACAAAGTTTAACATACAATTCTATATCTTTCACAAGATAAATATGATGGGAAAAACCCTAAATTCAAATCATAGTTTACCGAAATCTTTCCTGTGGTACTTTCAAACAGCTCAGAGGTAATCTGAAGCAGTGTTTGCGGCCCTCTCCAGTCCTGACTACTACTGACTCTGCACCTGCAATTGCAGAGCAAACTGGATTTGCCTTGTCTCACCCTCCACAACAGTGTTGTTTCAAAGAGAAAAGGTGTCTAGCAGAGCATGTGACTCTAGTAGCCAGGCTACAATGAACCATGTGGACCATGATTTTTAGATGCACTTCCTTAATCATTAAGCAAGCATTTCCACAGTAAGCATTAGCAGATAAATTAAACAATAACCATAGTCTAAAAGCAGCAAACCTCTGCAAGTCAAACCATTAGCTGTGAGGAATCTGCTGGGATGGAGGTCTAGGGAATGCAGACTTGGGCAGTATACTCTTGGAGTCAATACGGCACGGGACCTGGCAGTGTCTCGGCAGTCACTTTACTACCTGCAACCATCTGGTGGGCCACTTCCAAATAAAATACTCTATTTGTCATAAATATACAATTCCAACTTATGTGTTTTTAATATCATAATTTTAAAAAGAAATAACAAAGCAAAATTAGAATTGCAGGGGGTGGAAGGGAGAGGGGTAAAACAAGACACAAAGAAAAAACTGTAACATCATCTCTCACTAACTTTCAGACAAACCAAAAAGGGGGGAAGGAATGGGGAGTCCAGATGTGAAAGATTACAACAAGACTGAAAATTACACTTATTGAGTTTATACAGAGAACATCACAGCATAGTACTACAGAGTATCCATTCACTGAAGCACACATTTGTAAAATCTGTTTGTATACAAGCTGCGAGATTAAAGCAATGGAGCATAGTCTCTGAACATGCAGTTAAGCTTGAAATCATTAAAAAGACACCTACAACATCCCTACAAATTGACAACTAAAAAATATTGTTATTTTAGTTGTACCGGGGATTGAACATAGGGCCTTATGTATATTAGGGAAATGTTCTGACCCTGAGCCACACTCACCCTAATAAATAATTATTAGCCAGACAGACAGAAGATTATGAGGAAAATATTCTGTGCTGGACAATGACATAAAACACACACAATGCAGTGGAATGGTACACAAGCAGAAAATGCAGCCTCAGGGAAATGTGCTCATCGATAGACGGCGCTGTCAATACCACAGCCACAAGCTCACCAAAATAGGAAGGGGCAGGAAATGGAGATAAACACTTGATTTGGAAGTTTTATACTTCAATTTGGTAATTTCTCATTGAGTATATGCTAGAATCACTTCTGAATTCCACCTAAAGACGTATTGTGTGTGAGCGTGTGGGTGGGGTACACGTGTGCTGGCACAGGAGTCAGAAGTGATTTTCACAATCAGTTCTCTCTCTTCTATGTGGGTCCAGAGGATCAAGCAGATCCTCAGGTTTGGGGACACCTTACTAGCTTGTCAATGGCCCAGAAGAATGTCATTAATCCAGTGCATTAAATAAAATGCCTCATCAAAATTTTAATTGGTTTCTTATTTTTAATATAGTTATTAAAAATGTTTCATTATATGCAGTGTCTTTTTTATTTCTACTAAAAGAACTGATATACAAAAAAGGATCAAGGAAAACCAAGATAAGGAGAAAGACAGAAGGGGAGGAGAGCGATATTTAATAACGTAAATAATCTGAGTCTTTGCAAAGCCTTATTTGGTTCATTAGGACTCACAGGACTGGCAAGCTAATTAGTGACAGAACTAATCAAGAGAAAAGCAAAGGGAGTAAGACTCAAGACAAAAATGCAGACATTGTTATATACCATAAATCTTAAGGTACCAACAAAGAGTGCTAAAATAATAATTTAATATAAATAAAATAGATAAGTTCTTAGGGAAAAAAATCACCCCTTGCAAAGGTACAAAGGATGAATTATTAAACTGAATTACCCTGGAACAATTAAACAATTTTAAAAATTAATCACCTTTCAAAATTCTTCTCAATGGTTTCAATAAATTCTATCAAACATTCAAGATGAAAAACTGTAATGTCACATAACTACTACTCAAGAACTTAAGAAAAAAGTCACTAACCTGTTTGATAAGTAACAACACTGGCATTAAAAACAGGGACCAACAACAAATGCTGAGGAGACTGTGGGGAAGAGGAGCCTTGTTCACTGATGATGAGAATGCAATTATTAGAGGGAGCTATACGGAGCTTCCTCAAGAGACAGAACAGAGCCACCATATAACCCGGCTATGCCACTCAAGTACACAGCAGAAGGACTCCGAGACCTGCATGTTTATTGCTGCACTATTCAAAAAGGTCAGGAAACTCAAACAGTTTAGATGCTCATAAATGATTGGATGAACAAAAATTTTACACCTTTAAAAGAAAACGGAAGTCAGGACGTTTACAGCAAATAGGCTGGAAATCATTATTGGGCTCAAATAATAATTTTGAGTCAGACTCAAAATCACATTTTCTCTCATGTAGAACTTAAATTTAAAATGTATAAATGTACACATGTATGTGTGCGTGTATGTGCATATTTACACGTTTGTAGGTCATAAAGCCATAAAGGGGATCCTTCAAAGAACAAGATCTGCAAGGTGGTTGCAGAGCAGGTAATCATCATGTGGAACAGGAAGCAGAAGGGATCTACTAGAGAATGAAAAGGGTCCACTAGAGACAAAGGGGAATGACTGGGAACAATGTGTAATGACACCTATTGATGAAGATGCCATGATGAAACCCATTTCTTTGTAACTTAAAAAGCTAATTTAAAAAACCAACAAAGACTTTTCAAGAAACAAATTCCAGGCTACAGCTTGGGAATTTAGCTCAGTGGTAGAACAATGCCTAGCAAGTAAAAGGTAGGGACAAAAATCACAAAGAATGCCTCCCACAAGGAATTATGACAGGCTAATCTCATAATCTGAATGCAAAATCTTCAACAAAATATGATCAAACCACATCCAACAATATCTCTATTTATCATGGCCAAGCTTGATTTTCACCAGGACTACAGGTTGTTTTAACACTAGAAAAACAGTACTACAACTCACCTCAATAGCAGCTTAAAGGGAAAACATGCTAGACCATAAAATGCCAAGAAGGAGTTCTCAGTGTTCTGACATGATGAACACTTGGAAAAAATTTCCAAGAAAAACTACTACTTAATTTGCAAAGAGGACCTATGAATCCCTAGAGGAATCACCCCACAAAATGGTTGTAAAAGCTGCGTCTGAGCTGAGGTAAGGCAGGCTTGCTCCCACTCAGCATGAGACACACAGTGAGGAAATGAGAGATAAAACAGTCACAACCACAGACAGTGCATACTGGGCCTGGAGACAAGCCAGCAGACTAACAACATCAGAGGGAGTAAGCCTTACTAGACACAGGCTAACATAGGAAAAGACCTGACTGCTGTCACATCAGTAACAATGATCATCACACAACAATGCTTAAATGATTCCAATGGCAAGAACATTACAAACTATCAGATACCTGAGAATAAATCTGTCAAAGATACCTATAAATTCCGTGTAACCAAATCAATCAAATCAAACAGATTTTTATTTTCCCTTTGGAAAAAAAGCTGATTCTAAGATCAGACACACTGGAAACAGCTAAGAATATCTAATAACTAATAATGTTAGTTATTAATAATTAATGCTATTAGTTATAACTAATGTGTCTTGAACACTTAAAAACCTGCATCAAACTGGACGAGCACCACTACACATGTCTACCAGATACCAACAATGGACACTCAAGGACCCTACGTAGAGACCAGAATGAGGCATCACTACACTTCACCTACCAAATGCCAACAATGGACACTAACAGACAATACAATAAAACACCACTACACCTCTTTTACCAGACACAAACAATGAACCAGCTTCCGTTCTCAAACCTCACTTCTAACTCTTGGGGGGATGAGGAAGAAAACCTGCTTGACAAATATAGCCAAAGCACAAAATGAAGAACCATAGAGGCACAATAACACATAAAGCAAGAGACCATAAAGATTCACAATATTCAGACAATGCATTATGTATGTATATAATTTGAAAGTGAATAATAATAAATAATGTTAGGGCTGGAGAGATGGCTCAGTGGTTAAGAGCACTGGTTGTTCTTCCAGAGGTTTTGAGTTCATTTCCCAGCAACCACATGGCGGCTCACAACCATCTGTAATGAGATCTGATGCCCTCTTCTGCCATGCAAGCACACATGTAAATCCAACAATCATACGAATAAATAAATAAATAAATCTTTTTTTTTAAAAAAAAAAAAGGTAAAAATTACAGATATCTTTAGAGTATCAGAGTTCCCATTATGAATAAACTGTACTTAACAAAAGTAACCCTGGGGGCTGGAGAGATAGCTCAGCAGTTAAGAGCACCAGCTGCTCTTCTAGGAGACCTGAGTTAGATTCCAGGACCCACATGGTAGCTTACAACTGTCTCTATCTTCAGTCCCAGTGGATATGATACCCTCTTCTGCCTTCCATGGGCACAGACACACATGGAGGCAAAATACACACACACACACACAATATATATATACATATATAAATAATTTTAATAAAAATTAAAAAAACAAATCAGCGACTTATGCGGATTTTAAGTTATTTCCAAATAGCTGTGTGCTAGAAACACATAAAGTATCACCAAAAAATTCCAGAGTATTAAGAATCTGCACTGTGGACTATTATCTCAATTAATTTTAAATAAAGTTATAAAGAAACTGTTTCTTCTAGTGTAACAAGAATACAATTCTACAATAAACAGTGTGGCAAGCAAAACAGCTTAAATTGAGGAAACAGTTTAAAGCTGAAAACATTTTTGAAGAAAAACTATTTCTCAAGAGAAGGCCTAAGCTCACTACCATTGTTCTTCCCTGTTATTTAAAGTACACACAAGTGTTCTTACCTGGAATAAGATCTGCATAGGTCAAGCTAACATATAAGATGCTGATAAGAACTTTATCAGCAAGTGGATCAAGAGCACTTCCCAAAGCTGATTTTTGATTGGCCCAGTTTCGAGCAATAAATCCATCCAACTGAAAATAAAAGTGTTTTTTAAATAAATATCATCATAGGAACAGAGTAGGTAATTTGTAGCTTAAGAGATACCAGAGACAACTATGCTTTCAGAAAATGCCAACAAAATCTTGTTTCTTATCCCCAAACATTCTTAGTCTTTTAGCTTTTAAAACAGCAATTATCTAAACAAATTTCACGTTTATAGTACTGTTTTTTCTTCTCCAAGGGGTCCTACTGACTTCTAATTCTACAACATGCCCACGTGAAATGAGCGCAAACACAGATGCAGAGATAAAGCCCACACAACTCACAGAAAGCGTGACTGACAGAGCTGGGACTAAGAGCCAAACGGCTGCTGTTGCCTGTAAGGACTACTTTTAAACTGAGAGACACGCAGCTTTCCCATCTTTCCCATCTCTATCTGTTTTCCTGTACTGGCTGACTCTTGTGGGTCCTGTTTTAAAACTTACGTATATGTGTGACTGTTAGTTTTGTGTTTGTGTGTGTACATGTGTGTTCACAGAGGCCAGAGGAAACTGTTAAATCTTCCAGAACTGAGCAACTGGGAGCTGTCTGTGTGGGTACCGAGATTCAAACTCGGGACCTTTGGAAGAGCAGGAAGCACTCTACAGTTATGCCATCTCTCTGCCTCTTATCTTATAAATACAATATTAAAATGTATTTCATTAGAGAGCTGGGGTGTATTTCAGTGAGCGCTTGCCTAGCTTCTATGAGGCCCTGGGTTGATGACCTGTCTCCCTCCCTTCCTTCTTCCCTCCCTCCCTCCCTTCCTTCTTCCCTCCCTCCCTCCCTCCCTCCCTCCCTCCCTCCCTCTCTCTTTCTCTCTGTCTCTCACACACACACACGCAAAGAAATAAATGTGCCACACACATACATACATTGTTTAGTACCACTATTAATTCAATAACTCAATATTCTATGAAAGAAAACCGTAATCCTCTGTACCTATTAGTTAAAATGGTAATACTTAAATTATAGGGTTTTATTATGTAGCCCTGGCTGCCCTGGAACTCAGAGGTCTGCCTGCTTCTGCCTCCTGAATGCTGGAATTAAAGAAATACATTGAAATACATCACCACACCTAGCAAATTACTTCTTTTATTACTTATTTTGATTAGAAACAATATTTTAACCTAGATCACATTAGGTTTCCAAGCTTTCTTTTACCATAAAAACTGAATCTCTAGCCTAATTCGAGAGGGGCCAGACTTGGTCACGAGGGCCAAAAAAAGGATCAAAACCAGGTGCTGCCTAGTCGCATGACACAAGGCAGACAAGCTCCAATGTATAGTACTCGTTTTATTTAACTTTATACTTCAACAAATGTTTGAAATCTATTCTTATTTCTAAGAAAACGATATAAAACTAACTTATGTAAAATTAAGCATGTATTGCCAAATATTCCAATAAGTTAAGGAGAAAGTCCCAGGAGTGGTTAAGTCACTGGTTTAAGGATGCGGCTCAGGGCACAGCTCTCACCTGACACACACAGAAGGCCAGATGATCCCTAGCACAACAAAACAACACCCCCCCCCCCCCCCGCACCCACACAGACACAACCGCAGAACAGACTGCAGCAAGTCCTGCTCTGCACTCCCTTCTTGCGTGACCTTGAACAAGGCCTCTGACTTAGCTTTTCTTCCTGCTTAAAACAGGTAACACCCACTTATCTCAAAGCCTTGGCTGCCTTCAGCACATAATATGATTAAATTCATTCAGTCTCTTAATAAGACCTCAAAAGAGCAGTTACTAACGACTCTAATCACTATTAGAACAATCAGCTTTCTTCTTCTTCTTCCCTGTCCTTTGCCTCCCCTCACCCTGTAATATTCATTCACTCATTCACAGGCAGATTCTCTTGCTCTGCAGCCTGGAGCCTACTATTTAGACCTGGCTGTTCCAGAACTTGCAGTCATCAGCCTGCCTTTGGTGCTGCTATTTTAAGTGGACTGGAGGTAAGGTTTATTAACAAACTGCCAGTAATAGGGAATTAAGGCCTTGAAGACCCAGCTTTTGTTACAGTTTCTGTTCTTCACTTCCCACTTTTTGGCATTACTCCCGTCTGCACTATTGCTCTAACTCACATCACTCCTGTGCAAACAAGCATACTTCTCTCACAGCACTTCATTCCTCCTACAACACCAGCACCATGCACGTCAGGCCAGCATGCAAGTGGTTAAATAGTGCTCCAAAAAATACATAAGTGGGCTGACTGATGTCACAAACTCATGACCATAGCCTTCTGTGTGCACTCAATGCCTAGCTGTTATCTACTAACAGTATTATATTATGCTTTTACCCCAACCTACTTCATGCCTATTAAACACTCTCATTCTAGCCCACGGCCATGTCTCTACTTTCCTAGAAGAAAACAGTAAAAAGACAACCAGCAGTATTCCCTGCATTGCACCTAATACACAGCCAGCTGCACTCATCTTCTGTCTTCCCTAATGGAATTCCATTCCTCATTTTATTACTCAGCTAATCCAAAATCTTCCTCAGCACACCCGTCTTTAAAACAACCTTCCTTTGGCCCTCCTTCCCCTACAAAACAAAACTACCCTAAAAGCAGTGCCAGCCACCACCATCCCTCATTTGCTTACCAACTTGAGCCAATCATCCTCACACCTCTAGAAAGTTCTCATGCAGATGACCAATGTGCTCTGCATTTTCAGACCATGTGACCTCACACTAGCAGCACTTTTGTGGCTTACTCTCTGGGACATTCTGGCACTGTCTCATCTTCCTTTCTCAGCATCCCTAACGTCCCTGCCGGGCTTCTGTTCCTGTACTTATGGTCACTTCTCCCTCTCACTGACTAATTTACCACACTTAGATATTTCCTCTGATCAGGCAGCTCCCAGTCTGCCATCTTCTGGTCTACACTCCCACATTCAACTTAAAGCAATAGCTATCAGGAGCTTGGTGGTTTCCCCAAAACTGTGTCCTGTCTCAAGGGTTCCCCATCCCCCAGTGTTACCACCAAGAACCTGATTTTGAAGATGGGTGTGGATGTGGGTGGGATGCTTGGTGATCCTGTTTTATTTCCAGTCAATCTGCCCAGTATATCAACATATCAATACTTTATTCAGAACATTATCCAAACCCATCCACTTCTAACTCCAAACTCCAACTCAGTCTAAGCTACTTCCTCACCAGTTCTTTGGCTCCCAACTCTTGCTGGCCGAGAGCCTACTTCCCACACAATCAGATCCTGCCATTCCCCTGCTTAAAACCAGCAGTTGAGGAGGCATCCAAATCTCCATGGGAAAGTGCACAATATGGTACCAGTTAATTCCGGTTTCTATACACATCATGCCATGCTTGTTAATGGGGTGCCTCTCTCATTTAATAAGCCCATTTCATGTGGCAGCTGAACCCCTACCCCACAAAGCCCTCACAAATTAATAAATATAAAAGGTAAATTTAATATCTGGGGAAAAAAAACAACTTTACTATCTAAAATATTTTATTATCAGTCTAATGTTCTAGGACAGATTTTCAGACCACACCAATAATGTGAGTGGAGAGAGCTTCAGGAGAGGGACAAACAGGCCCAAGGAAGGAGGAGAAATGAGAATGCGAACAGATGCTGACAAAGGAAAAGGCAAGACTCGTGTAAGGCTGTACCTGCTGCATATTCAGAAACACTTAAGACAACACAAATGCTCACATCTGTCCATCTTCTTCAAAGCCTTCTGTTAACTTCATTCATTATTAACACTACTGTTAATAGGTGTCTCTATGAACCACAGACAGAAAAGCAAACTGTTTGTTTGTTTGTTTGTTTGTTTGTTTATTTATGTATACAATATTCTGTCTGCATGTATGTCTGCAGGCCAGAAGAAGGCACCAGACTCATTACAGATGGTTGTGAGCCACCATGTGGTTGCTGGGAATTGAACTCAGGAACTTTGGAAGAACAGGCAATGCTCTTAACCACTGAGCCATCTCTCCAGCCCCAGTAAACTTTTTTTTTTATTTTACTTTTTGGTCTTATGTGACAGAGTTTCTCAGTAGCTTTGGAGCCTGTCCTGGAACTCATTCTGTTCCAGGCTGGCCTCAAACTCAGAGATCTGCCTGTTTCTGCCTCCTAAGTGTTATGATGAAAGGAATGCGCCACCACCGCCCAGAACAAACTTTTTTTTTTTTTGATTTTCAAGACAGGGTTTCTCTGTAGCTTTTTGGTTCCTGTCCTGGAACTAGCTCTTGTAGACCAGGCTGGCCTTGAACTCACAGAGATCCGCCTGCCTCAGCCTCCTGAGTGCTGGGATTAAAGGCGTGCACCACCACCGCCCGGCCAGAACAAACATTTTTAAACTTCCATACAACCTTTACTTTTGGGAAATCAGTTTTCTACTTTCATTAAATAAATGTTGAACAAAACTGTTCAAAAACAAATAGATTTGAAAACATAATTTATCTCCTATCCAGGTACAAACAGATCTCCCAGTTTTCCTGTCTGAGAAAATATTGGTTCTATTTCCACATGCTGACCTCAAGTTTTTCCTCTATCCTGCACTTCTCTCAACTGTGTTTGTGGGCATAAAATTTTGTAAGCCATTTTAAACCCTCTGTAAAAAGGTAGGTAATAAATACAGGCATCTACGATAGCAGTGCTGGTCAGCAAAAGCAACAGAGCCTTCTATCATGGCATTATATTCCCAATTCTAATCTGATATCACACTCCCCAAACCGACAGAACCAAAGAACGCCTCTCCTTGTCCAGGTGCTAAGGAAGCAGGAAAAAGGATGCCCAAGGCCTTCACTGCACAGCAGCCGGAGGTGTGTTGATGAATGACAGTTCCAAGCAGAACAGGACCTGCACCAGCTCCCAGGCCACATCCTCCTCCACTTTCCCTGCAGATCAGACTACTTCCTTCACAGTAGACACAGAGTGCCAGAACTTCTCTTTATTCTACCGCTGCAGTAAGTACTTGGATCTTGAACATTTCTACATGTGTTTTTTTTTTTAAAGAAGTTAAAAACCAAGGGTAGAGATATCCTCTCCTACAGCACTCCACGACCTTTACACTTGTAGATCTCTTAGATCTTTATCATCTTTTCTAGATCCTCTAGATCTCAGAAAAGCAGTTCCACATGGACGCTGAAGATAAGTCCTTACACAAAGTGCTAGATCACATTCATGCTGAGGTTGTCCATCCAGCACTCCAGGGGAATTATGGATAGTGTGGGATTTGGAAGGGAGCAAAAAGCAAATATATTCATAACTTACCAAATCCGTTAGCCCAGCTACAGCAAAAACACCTAGTGCAATGTTAAAATCTTCTTCAAGAATTAGATAGCCCAACACTGGGGCCAAGCCGATTCTCGTCATTGACAACATATTTGGGATTGTCCATGGATTTTCATACTGAAAGACAAAGACAGCACAGTTTTTATAAAATACAAATTCATACTTTAAAACACATGGAAATGAGGCTGGGCGGTGGTGGTGCACGCCTTTAATCCCAACACTCTGGAGGCAGAGGCAGGTGGATCTCTGTGAGTTTGAGGCCAGCCTGGTCTACAAAAGCTAGTTCCAGGACAGGAACCAAAAGCTACGGAGAAACCCTGTCTCGGGAAAAAAAAAAAAAAAAAAAAAAAAAAAAAGACTGTACCCAAATTGTTTTAAAGATCATTAAATGAAACTGACAACGGGGAAATTGCACTTGATAAAATCTGTCAGACTGAAAATTAACTGAAGAATAATTTTGCATCACCAAATACAGACAATCTCATTAGAAACAATGGTAACAAAAGGAAACTCCCAGCTGCAGATCTGTAGTTGCTAGAATAGAAGGACCTGGCTCATGGTCAATATTTTCTGATGAAGTATTTAACTAGAAAGGATAATTGCTAATGAAAAGAGTTTCAAGACTATGATGGATAATGGGAAAAACTGGAAGATTTCAGTTGCACAGTAAACAGATCAAGAAATAAAGTTGAAGCCAGGCAGTGGTGGTGCACACATTTAATCCCAGCACTCGGGAGGCAGAGGCAGGCGGATCTCTGTGAGTTCGAGACCAGCCTGGTCTACAAGAGCTAGTTCCAGGACAGGCTCCAAAACCACAGAGAAACCCTGTCTCGAAAAACAAAAACAAAAAGGGCCCCTTGGCAGCTGCACTGAAGAACAGCCCTCCTGTGCCAAACAGGAGATTCACGAGAGCACTGCAACTTTACAACTCCAGCCCAGCAGAGCTGACCTGCCCTGCGCCACATGGGACAGAGACAGCAAGAAAATGTCTGTCCCTGAAGCCTGAAAGCTGATTCGCCCGCTGAACTTTGTCTTCAAAGAACCATTCTAACATCTTTTTAAATCGACAAATTAGTAACCAATTTACCTGAACCTTAACCTTCTTAGAGAAAAGGGGGGGGGCAGGCTAGTGAGCTCAACAGATGTGGGTACCTGCTGCCAACTCTGACAACCTGAGTTCCCAGGGCACACGGCAGAAAGAGAGCAGACACACCAGGAAAATTGTCCTCATCTTTGCATGTGTTCATAGTGAGTATGTGTGCACACACCAAAGGGGAAAAGTGTCAATGTTCATTTCTCAAGTTATCTTAAAATCTCATGAGCCACCTACCTCCTAAGAAAAGGCATTTATTTTACAAAAAGAATCCAACAGAACGCATACTGGTATAGAGGGATAATGGGGCGGCTGTTGAAATCCGATGACAAAATACTGTCACTGAAAACTATAGAACTTCAGGGCTGGAGAAATGGGTCAGAGGTTAAGAGCACTGACTGCTCTTCCAGAGGACCTATATTCAATTCCCAGCACCCACATGACAGCTCACAACTGTCTCTAACTGCCAGATCTGACTGACACCCTTAGACCCTCACACATGCAAGTAAAATATCAATGCAAATGAAATAAAAGTAAATTTAAAAAAAGAGAAAATTGTAGAACTTCAAATCCTACTACAGCAAGTCAGAAGCAATACAGTCCTCTACTCTGGAATGTTCTATTCAAAGTCAGATCACATTATAAAGTTGTATGAAAACATGCTCATTCACACTCAGGTTCAAAATATTAGAACATTCCTGAAACTTAGGAAAAGTGTCAGGCTGGTGAGACGGATCAGGGTCGCTGTCCTGACCTTTGTACGGGTAAGAAGGACAAGCCTGCAGAGCACACTGTGGTATAAGGTCAGTCAAACACTGATCCGATATCACAGCAACTCACAAAGGCTGGGAAGAGGGGAAGATGGCCCGTGGTGGAGAAGATGTGATACAAAGCAAAAGCCAGGAATGAAGAGCTCCAAAGTTAGTCTGATGTGCCCACGGGGCAAGACTAAGTCAGAGCTGCGGCCAGCAGTCGTTATTACTTCACGCGGCAAACACACTACAACTGGATGGGTAGCTACCGGGCCAGTGAAGGGGCTCGAGCCCTACAAGAAACGCTCACCGAGAGCTAGTTATAACATACATCTGTACAGGTCAACACTGGGAAAGCTAAATCTCAGATTACCCAACCAGATAACCTGTGGCATACTCGGCCAACTGTGCTGGGTAGGGCTTCAGCCAGGTTGAGGGCCGCTTCAAGGCATCCAGCGTTCAAGCTCCAAGGGCTTTAAAGCTGTTCCTCAAGTTGAGCCCCCTGCCGGGGTGTGGCCACCTCAGCCCATGCTGTGTAACTGATGAAGGCGGAGCAGGACAGGGGCCTCTGAAGACCTAACAATTGAAGATGTAATAATTGCACGAGCTTTGCTAACATGACAACAAAAGGTGTCCCACACTCGTGCTCTGGGGTCTCCTGCCTAGGACGTGATGTTAGCAGGTAAGGTGGACAAATAGCTCCTTTTGTCACCGCAAAAACAGACTTAAGTTATAATACAAAGTTGAAGGATCTTTTCGTTACAACCCACGCTAAGTAATTATCCTCCGTGTTACTGTATATGATGACCAAAGGCCAAAGGTTGATGAACCAAACCTGCACAAGCTAACAGATGGGCCGTTCTTAGACGCTTCCGAATTTACCCTATACACTCAAGATTCGCTTCAAAAAGTTAAAAATAGATTTTTAACTACACGAGCAAGAGCTGTTTTACTAATGCAACGTGCAGACACACCTCCCAGCAACGGGTGTAGACAGACGGCGATTGAAGTGGGTTCTAATTTGGCCAGAGACTGTACCCGACTGCCGCCCCCCCCCCCCCGAAGCTCACGGCAACCGAACGCGCCGCCTGCCCATAACTTCCCAGAACACCGAGTGTCGCGACAGAGCGCCGAGCCCGTCACCTGTTCGGCCGACTCTCGTACGTACCGGGCTGGCGGCGCTCGCCGGGCCCCAAGGGGCGCCCGGGGCCTGCGCGGTGGCGCCTCCTCCGGCCGCCGGCCCCGGGGTCGCCGCCTTCCCAGCACCGGAGCAGTGGTTCCGCGGGCCGGCGCCGGGCAGCCTCAAGGCGAAGGCGGCCGGACGCAGGCGCCAGCGCTCGGCCAGGCAGCCCAGGCAGCAGGCCGCGGGCGGCAGCAGGGCCCTGCGGGAGCCGCCCCTGCCGAGCCGCGCCCCCGGCGGCCGAACGGCCACGCGAAGGGGCCCCCACGCGCCGCGCGCCACGCGCCAAGCCAGCATGGCCTTGCGGCCGCCGTGCAGTCCCGATAGAGAACTCAGCAGTCCCAGGCGCCGGCCGCCTGCTTCTCCGCGGGAACCCGGCAATGCCCAAGCCGCAAGGATGTCCCCATACTAATTTCCACACTCCAGCACGACCCGCTTATTACAGGTGGCCCGGAACCGTCAAGGAAGGCCGCTTTCACGACACTTTCACGACACCCAGCAGCTCGGCTCCCCAGCGCCTCCGGGCGGCAGCGGCAAGCAAGTGCAGCTAAGGTCGGCGAGCTCGTGCGCCGGTGCAGCTCATTCGCCTTTGGGCTAAGAAGAATGACAGGCAGGGAAAACCTGGAGCGAGTGCCACGTGGCCATGGGAAGCCAGTCATCTCAGGCCTCAGCCCGAAAGCCTCTGGTGCCAAGTGGCCCGCTGGTGTGCGTGGTACTCTATGACTACCGGAGGAGTTTTAAAATATTTGTGTTGGATTAAAAGTAATAACATTATGAATAGGTCCAAAGAATCAATGAAAAATGTCAATCACAGCAACCACTATTTACTTGGAAAAAGTGTCTAATGTATAAGCTATTGTGCATTTAACCCTATTAACAACTCTAACATAAGTTTTCTTATTTACTTTTATAGGTATGGAAATAGGTGTACAAAAGAAACTTGCTTATTCTTCTTTTATAAAGTATTTTTATTAAGCTTATTTTTATTTTATGTGCATTGATGTTTTGCCTGCATGTATGTCTGCGTGAAGGTGTCAGATCCCCTGGAACTGGAGTTACAGAAAGCTGTGTGGGTGCTGGAAATCGTACCTGGGTCCTTTGGGAAGAGCAGTCAGTGCTATTAACCACTGAGCCATCTCTCTAGCCCCAAAAGTTTATTCTTAACAAAATCCCAAATAGGACGGTGGTGACACATGCCTTTAATCACAGCACTCAGGAGGCAGAGGCAAGCAAATCTCTGAGTTCAAGATCTCTACAAGAGCTAGTTCCAGGACAGGCCTGGGGGGGGGGGGGAGAAACAGAGAGAGAGAAACAGAGACAGAGAGAGACAGAGAGAGTTAGTTAGTTAGTTAGTTAGTTAGTTAGTTCTAACAATGAACCTGTTGTTACAAGTTACACCTTACTGATACATTGGCTTCCTAACCTTACAAACATACTTCTACCTTTTGTTTCAGTGTTGGACTTGAACCCAAGGCCACCCAGGCAAGGGCAGTACCAGTGGAAGGGCACCGAGTTCCTGTCAAATGGCAATCAACAGTTTTGCACTCTTTCCGCTATCCTCCTTCAGTCCAGTCTGAAAGCATACAATCATCTTAAGGTTGTTCTTAAAGCTTGAATTAAATTTGACGATTATAGATTTAAGGAGCATTTTATCAAGATCATTTTTAACTTTCTTTTGTTTCTGGAGACCAGATCTCCTCGTGTGGCCCTGACTGTCCTGGACTTGCTTTGTAGACCAGGTTGGGCTTCCACTCAAAGATATGCCTGACTCTGTCTCCCAAGGGCCAGGATTAAAGGCATCTACTACCGTGCCCTGCTATCTTTAATTTCTTGTGCACCTATTGGGACACTGCTAGTAAGAGAAAAAGCTAGGGACTAGAGAAATGGCTCCATGGTCGAGAGCACTGGCAGCTCTTCAAAAGACCCAGGTTAGATCTTAGCACCCACATGGTGGCTCTCAACCTAACTCTAGTTCCAGGAGATCTGATTCCCTCTTCTGCCTTCCATGGAACCAGGCACACAGATGCCACAAACATATATTCAGGAAAAACGTTAAAAATTAAGAAAATATTTAAAATTCCAAACATGTTAAATAGAAAAAAAATCCACATTATACATTAAAAGAAAATCTAAGAATGTTATTTTAACAATGTTAAGACTTTATTTTTAAATTACCACTGGAACGGTTCATCTGTTTCTCAAAAACTTGGGATAATTCCGGTGAGAAGTAGGCAGAGGGAAGACGAAGCAGAGACCAGAGCCTTGGTAGTGAGATAGCAGTGGGTGGCAGCCAGCAAGAGATGAAACCCGTGGGGTTTGGGCTGGCGGGTACCTGATGGTTTCTTTGGAGTTACAAAAGCTGCCTGGCTGGAAGATGTAAACCACTTTAGTTATTTGTTTATTTATTTATTTGGGTTTTCGAGACGGGTTTCTCTGTGTAGCCTTGGCTATCCTGGAACTCACTATATAGACCAGGCTGGCCTCAAACTCAAGATACCTCACCTGCCTCTGCCTCCTAAGTGCTGGGACTAAAGGTGTGTACCACAGCCACCCCACGTTTAGCTGTTAGTCTGGTACTGTGACAACAGATACCAAATAAACATATAGAATATAAGAAAACATTCAGCGGTTTCTCATAATTAGGCTTATATAGTCTCTTATGTAACAGTCTTAACCTTAGACAAGGATCTGATAGGCCCATCTTTCTTTCAACGATTGTGCATGTCATCTTCCTCTTTCACGAAAAGCTACTATGCATTGACTTTTCTGAAATAGGCTTTTCGTTCCATTAACAAATTACCAGCTCTTCTTGCCCTTCAACACTCTAAGCTGAACAAGGTCAGGTACTCGCCTTTAATTCCAGCACTCAGGAGGCAGAGGCAGGCAGCTCTCTGAGGTCCAGGCCAACCTAGCTTACAAAGCAAGTTTCCAGGACAGCTAGAGCTGTTACACAGAGAAACCCTGCCTTGAAAACCAAACAAACAAACAAATCCCCAACTGATGAGATGATTCAATTGATCAAGGTGCTTACAGCTGTGATCAACTGACTTCAATTCTCTGACTACACAAGAACACTATGACACCCGCTGCCACCCTCCCCCCAAAATAAGCATAGAGAAAAACATCTTTTAAAAGTAGACATCACCATATTAAGCTGTAGATTCATTTCAGTGTCCCTAGGTTCAATTCACTACATCATTATATTTAGACTAACAACTACCATTTGCTTCAAGTCAGGCCTTAATATTTTTATATTTTGAGGCATTTTATCCCACATTTTATTTTCATTCTGGATGTATTATCAGTTAAATGCCCATTGTAAAATATGAGTATTTGTTTTTCGTTATTCAATGTGTGTGTGTATGTGTGTGGTGTAGGTGTTCAGGGGTCAGGGAAAGAGGTTGATGTTGAGTGACTTCCCCTTACTTTTTTGATTGGGGCTCCCTAGTTGAGGCTGCCCAGTGAGCTTCAGGGATCTGCCTCTGTCCTACCCACCCCATGTTAGGGTTGCAAACCTTCTCGGCTTTGTAAGAGGATCTGAACTCAGGTCCTCATGTTTGCATGTCAAGCCTTACCAACTAAGAAGGCCATTTCTCCAACCCAGTTTGGGGTGTATTTTGTTGTGGTGGAATATTCCTTTACACTGTGTGAAGATATGTCACTGTGATTACTTTAATAAAAAGCTAAATGGCTGATAACTAGACAGGATTTGGGGGGACAGAGAGGATGCTGGGAAGAAGATGGAGTCTCAGGGAGATGCAGAGTGAGCAGGAGAGGCTCTATGGAGATAATAAAGTTATGAGGCAGAAAGTAAATTAATACAAACGGGTTGACTTAAGTCATAAAAGCTAGTTAGAAACAAGACTAAACTATTTGCCAAGCTTTCACAATTAACAAGTCTTCTTATTTATTTGGGAGCTGGCTGGTGGAACAGAAAAATCTCCTACGTGTGGCATCCAATGGGATGGAAGTATTTTCACATAAGACCTGAGAAAGCTTAAAAAAACATTCCAAATACTGTTGTGAGAAGTCAGTCTGATAGTCAACTGTATTGGAGCAGCTCGGCCCAATGGTGTGGTCGTCTCTAGGATACGTGACCCAATAAGAACCAGGGGCAAACAGTCACATGCTCTCTTGGATGGTGGATGAGTTGACAGCAAGCCACAGCTTGGAGCTTCCCCACTGCCTTTTGGGAACGGGGTTGTAGAGCAGAAGCAGTGAGCTGGCTCCCCGGTGAAAATAGCAGAGCGGCTGGTGACACAGCCTGGATCCCTCATTCTGTTGTGGAATCACTGTGCATGGATTTTGATTTAATAAAAGTTAACACAATTTCCAGATCTCCTTCCTTAAAACACACAAAAGTGGAGACAAATGTGGCCTCCTATTCCCATTCTCTCATAAGGGCCATGCTACACAGATGTGTCTTCCAGCCACTGCCTGAGGGCCTGAGCTGCCACATACCATGAGTTAAGTTGCGCAGTGGTTTAAAATTTTGCTCATGCTGACAGAAAAAGTGACAAATATGCAAAAAAGACAAATCTAGACTGGGGGAAAACTCTAAACAGGGTATGGTGTGTTTTAAAATGTGCCTAGACTTAAGAAAGAAAAGAAAATGGGTGTAGACATTTTCATATACTCATAGAAAAGAGTAAATTGTTTATGAATAACAGAAAAGAAAATGCACAGGGAGTCTGGGTCTGGATGGTGGTGTGTTGACTTCAAATTTTCTGATTGTTGCTGATGAGCAAGTAACAGCTGCTGAGAGACACTGAATTACAAAATCTACTAAATTAAGTCAACCTACATATTTTACAAATACTTTAACTTCAAAATGGTAGTTAAAAAAATGTTACAAAAGAGGTTATGCTTTCGTCTCCACAGAAAACAAAAGGCTGTGATTTTCGATAAAGGAGCTAAAAGTATACAATGGAAAAAAGAGAGCATTTCAACAAATTGTGCTGCCAGGGGGGCTGGAGAGATGACTCAGTGGTAAAGAGCATTGCCTGCTCTTCCAAAGGTCATGAGTTCAATTCCCAGCAACCACATGGTGGCTCACAATCATCTGTAATGAGGTCTGGTGCCCTCTTCTGGCCAGCAGGCATACACACAGACAGAATATTGTATACATAATAAATAAATATTTAAAAAAAATTGTGCTGGCTGAACTGGATGTCAACCTGTAGAAGGATGAAAATAGACCCATATCTATCACCAAGCACAAAACTCAAGTCCAAATGGATTAAAGACCTCAATATCAGTCCAAACACAATGAACCTGATAGAAGAGAAAGTGGGAAGTATTCTACAACACATTGGCACAGGAGACCACTTCCTACGTATAACCCCGGCAGCACAGACATTAAGGGCCTCATTGAATAAATGGGACCTCCTGAGACTGAGAAGCTTCTGTAAAGCAAAGGACACTGTCACTAAGACACAAAGACAACCCACTGACTGGGAGAAGATCTTCACCAACCCTGCAACTGACAAAGGACTGATCTCCAAAATATATAAAGAACTCAAGAAACTAGACCGTAAAAGGCTAATCAACCCAATTATAAAATGGGGCACTGAGTTGAACAGAGATCTCTCAACAGAAGAAGTTCAAATGGCCAAAAGACACCTAAGGTCATGCTCAACTTCCTTAGCGATCAGGGAAATGCAAATCAAGACAACTTTAAGATACCATCTTACACCTGTCAGAATGGCTAAAATAAAAAACACCAATGATAGCCTTTGCTGGAGAGGTTGTGGAGAAAGGGGTACACTCATCCATTGCTGGTGGGAATGCAAACTTGTGCAACCACTTTGGAAAGCAGTGTGGCGGTTTTTCAGAAAATTCGGGATCAACCTACCCCTGGACCCAGCAATACCACTCTTGGGAATATACCCAAGAAAGGCCTTATCATACAACAAAAATATATGCTCTATTATGTTCATAGCAGCATTGTTTTTAATTGCCAGAACCTGGAAACAACCTAGATGCCCTTCAATGGAAGAATGGATGAAGAAAGTATGGAATATATACATATTAGAGTACTACTCAGCAGTAAAAAACAAGGACTTCTTGAATTTTGCATACAGAGCTTTGGACTTTCAGGATAGAATTAATAATGGCGTATTTTCTCCAAATATGCCAACCACAAATGGACTGGACATTGTAAATATAATCCTTACCTGATACTTATTGTTTATAGTTTTATTATGTTAGAGTTAAAACCTTTCCTTTTTAGACAAAAAGTGTAAAATGTGGAATATTCCTTTACACTGTGTGAAGATATGTAACTGAGATTGGTTTAATAAAAAGTTGAACAGCCAATAGCTAGGCAGGAATTTCAGGGTAGAGAGAATGCTGGGAAGAAGGCAGAGTCTCAAGGAGATGCAGAACAGGCAGCGATGGAGGAGGGTCATCTGTCTATGTGTTACTCTCATTCGTTAATTAATAACGAAAACTGCTTGGCCTGATAGGTCAGAACATAGGTAGGCGGGGAAGACAGAAGAGAATGCTGAGAGGAAGAAGGCAGTGAGGCAGATGCCATGGAGCCAGCCGCCAGGTCAGACATGCTGAATCTTTCCTGGTAAGCCAACACCTCATGGTGCTACACACATTAATAGAAATGGGTTAATCAAGATGTGAGAATTAGCTGGTAAGAGGTTAGAACGAATGGACCAGACAGTGTTTAAATGAATATAATTTTTTGTTGTTATTTTGGGTGTAAAGCTAGCTGTGTGGGAGCTGGGCAAGACAAAAAGCAGGCTTGCCCACTTTTTGCTCACTACAAATGGTGCCCAGACATGGATAACTGAATCCACAGAATGCCTGAGAAAACTTGGGAAAGAATAAAGCATGTTTTCTCGGTAGCAGCAATTTCTTGGGTTTGCTCTGCTTGCTAGAGGCAAGCAAGTACTCTCATCTAAGAGAGGCTTCCTGACTCAGCTTTATCTGCAAAACCCTGCAGCTCTTTTAAGAGGTCCTGCCACGAAACTCCTAAATGGTGTTGATGAAAAGCTGAATGCTTGCTTTTTAGTTTTCATCCGTAGCAGAAAAAAAAAAAAAAGAAAGCTGAGTTGTTTTAAAATGCCGGCTTTCTGGGCTGTCCTGCCAGGGCAAACTCTGACTCTTTCAGGCAGGCAGTCTGACTGAGTGTGGTCTGTGAGTAGAATGCTGCAGCTTGCTTGCTGGCAGGGACCTTGAAATGCCATAGAGTTGTGGCAATAAAAATGGCTATAGCCATTACCTCCACCATGAGGCTAGAAACCTAAAGAATGGGCTGGATCTAGACATCAAAGCCATGGCTTTAATCTTCTCCTTAGACTCATGTAGTTAGAAAAAGAGAGATATACAATAAAGAGAGATTCAAAGACAAAGAAAACCTCTAAATGGTTTACAGTGTGTTAAAAATATATGCAGGCTAAAGGTTAAAGTTTTTAAATGTAAAAAAGAAAGAGTAGTTGGGTGTGGTGGTACACACCTTTAATCTCAATACCTGAGAGGCAGATGTAATTGACCTCTATGATTTCAAGGGGCAGAGGTAGATTGACCTCTGTGACTTCAAGGTGTGGTAGCACACGCCTTTAATCCCAGCACTTGGGAAGACAGAGACAGGTGGATCTCTGTGAGTTCAAGGACAGCCTAGTCCAGAGTTATTCCAGGACAAAGTTATACAGAGAACCTGTCTCAAAAAGTAAAAATAAAAGAAATAGAGGTTAAAACAAAGCTGCACAAAGATGGAAAATACACAGAGAATCTTGATACTATATGCTATTATGTTCTCTTTGAACTGTTTGAATGCTGAGGAAGAAACAACAAATGCTTTAAAAGATATTGTTTATAAATGCTGCTGAACTAATCCAAGATAGATATTTTGAAAATGCCTTGACTTCAAAATTTGGATCTAAGGTTATGATGCTTTGGAAAAGGTCTTCTTTTGTTTTCACAGAGGATGAAACCCTGTGGATTGTGTCTATCCCAATATGGTATGATGGACCTCACCCTCCTGAAAGATTGCTGTAAACACCTTCAAAAAATTACTTCACTCATCTGCTGAGATGAATCTAGCACACAGGTTATACCATGAAAGATCTGATTAGCAGTGCCCCATTCAGCATGAAGTAGTTTTGAGAGAAATAACTGTGCCCATATTGCCAAATATTCTTTATAAATGTTTATGATATAGATATGAATAATTTGCATTGGTATGGATTTTAAGGTCAATTTTGTTATATGTATAAGTATTTCTGATCTTAAGGTATTGTGATTGTGTAGTTCATTTAAAATGTATTGTATAATTAGGAAATATAGGTTAATGGATAATCATTAATAATAGTCAAGCTTGTAGTCATGTTAGATTTTCTAGATATGTAGAGATATATTTCAGTGAGATAGGCATTCTTCATATTTTTCAAAGTTTACAGAATATGGCATTTTAAAGTTTTAATAACTTAGGGCTTTTCAGGACAATGAGACATAGCTGCTTCTGGCAGCACCAATCTACTTCAAGAGGAAGATGGGCATCGAAGAGGCTCCTTATGGAGTTTGATAGCCATTCGGGCAAGAAACTGCTCTTGCCTGGACTGTTGCATAAACTGGACACAGAGAACCCACAGAGAGAGGTCTGCCAAACTTGCCTAAAGGTGAAATGGTCTTTCAGAGTTCCTGATTCATGAAAGAGTCTGCGAGACATTCTGCAGGACACAGCAGATAGTGACTGAACTATCTTTGAAATTTCCTGCTTCATGGAAAAGTCTGCTGGATACTATGGGTCTGAAGGCTGAAGATGGATGCCCCAACGGTACAGAGGAACTTTGGGTGACTGTACAGGCGAGTTGTCTCTGTTATTTCTAGAGTTTTGGAAGTTGCTTACTTCTTGTGTACTTAGGTAATATTATATCCTTCTGGAGTCTTTGATGGAGTTAAAGAATAGATAGATAGTTATAGTTTTCCTTTTCCTTTGTTATGGTAAAAGATAAAATAGATATAAATATTGTAATTGTAATTCTTGCTTGATAACTGTTTTGGTATATGTAATTTTACTATGTTAAAGTTAAAGTCTTTCTTTTTGTTTAAACAGAAAAAGGGGAAATGATAGAGGATCATCTGTCTATGTGTTACTCTCATTGGTTAATTAATAACAAAAACTGCTTGGCCTGATAGGTTAGGACATAGGTAGGAGGGAAGACAGAACAGAATGCTGGGAGGAAGAAGGCAGTGAGGCAGATGCCATGTAGCCAGCCGCCAGGTCAGATATGCTGAATCTTTCCCGGTAAGCCACCACCTTGTGGTGCTATACACATTAATAGAAATGGGTTAATCAAGATGTGAGAATTAGCCGGTAAGAGGTTAGAACTAATGGGCCAGACAGTGTTTAAATGAATACAATTTGTGTGTTGTTATTTTGGGTGTAAAGCTAGCTGTGCGGGAGCCAGGCAGGACAAAAAGCAGGCCTGCTCACCTCCTCACTACAAGGCAGGATGGGTACTATAGAAATGAGTTAATAAGGCCACAAGGTAGAAAGTAAATGAAAAGAAACGGGTTAAGTTATAAGAGCTAGTTAGAAACAAGACTAAGTTACTGGCTGAGCTTTCATCATTAAGAAGTCTCCTTGTCATTTATTGGGAACTGGCTAGCAGGACAGAAAAATCCCCCTTCATTTTGTTTCTTCAATTTTTCATTTATCCGGTTTCCTGGAAGTTTAGTATATTTCCAACCACTGGCTCACAATGCCTGAGTGCTTATATGTGGGAAGTGTTTGATGGTTACAGATATGAAGGGTGTCTTGGCTAGAGGTCCAGTTTCACTTGAAGCTTCTCACAATCTATTATCATCAATTTTGACTTTATGGGCTCTCCCTCTTGAAGCAGACCTCAGAAAACTCCCTAGTTAATCCAGCTTTTTCAAACCAATGTTTCTTGTTGTGCTTTTTCTTCTGAACTCGCAACAGAAAGAGGCTGAATGAAGATGTTCCCTGCTGCTGCCACCTTCCACAGAGGCATTTCCTGGTATAGGAATGGCATCTGTGAGGCACGAAGGTGGGTGTGCTTGAGACACCATGGCATCAAGCTAGGTTTACATTTCTCTTATCAGTCTTCATACAATTTTGTAAACAATTATTTTCCAGAAAGGATTTTTGCTAAAGTCAAAAGATTTCTACTACTTCCAAATGAAAAACCAAGTCAGACCCACAATAACCATGACCATAAGGGTTAGAAACAAATGAAGAGTTTTTTTGACGTAAACATTTTATGAAATTCAAAGTTTAATATAAATAAAGTTTCACAAAAATAATACTCATTTGTTTATATATTACCTGGATGCCTGAGAGACACCTGATATACAAGACTATGAAACACTAATAAAAAATGACAAGAAAAAGTATAAATAATGTTCATGTTATTTAGATAAAATAATACAAACATTTTACTTTTAGTCTTCTGGATAAATTATGGATTACTAATGTACAATCTCACCACTTCTCAGCTGACCATAACTAACATTTTTTCATTATGAGTTATATGCCATTTTTCAGACCTTTTATTTTCAGTTTTTTAATTAAGATGATTTTAAGGTATAATAAACTACAGGTGGCCCTGACTTGGTAAGTTTGTCACATAGTTTGAAGTTGGTAAATCTTTGGGCCTTTTTTTAAGAGGTAACCCTGGTCATTCAGTGATCCAATGAAGTTTTCAAAAACGGCAACCTAGAAGCAAACATCCAGAGTCAGCCCATTTAGGAACACGCCAAACATGATTTTCACATCAGTCTCTAGACAGACTCCCAACAAGTATCCTAGGCAAATAAAATAGTATGTGCTTTCTATAGCACACCGAAAAAGCAAAGAATACTTTGTCTTAACCAAAAACCCAACTTAGACTAGTGATGTGGGACAAAGGTCTGTATTCTGTCAATTATATTTTAAATAAACGCTGACTGGCCAGTAGCCAGGCAGGAAGTATAGGTAGGACAACCAGACAGGAAGCAGAGGCAGGTCAATGAGAACAGGAGAATTCTTGGAAGAAGGAAGTCCTTTCCAAAGTCTTGGCCCAGCCACCGAAGAAGCAAGATGTGACTTCCCTGCCTAATAAAATACCGAGCCACATGGCTAACACAGATAAAAATAGTGGACTAATATAAGCTATAAGAGTTAATAAGAAGCCTGAGCTAATGGGCCAATAAGTTTATAACTAATGTAGACCTCTAGTAATGAGGACCCTCTGAAATTACAAAAACTATCTGTTAAGTATTCAGGTACCTGAATGTTTAGTTCTTTGGCAATCTGACGAAGTTGATGATATTGAAATATATTGTTGTAAGTTCTTTCAGCAATGCTGTTAAGAGCAGAAATAAATCTTTTTGCTGTTGACCTGTTGCTCATTCCAGAGCCGTGCTGGGATCGCTCAAAATCCAGGTTCCCAAATTCATCTGAGTAAGTTCCTAGCATGCTTAAAGATGGAGAAAAAAGAATTATCTCACATGGTATGGCTACAGACATTTTTGGACTGGGCTTCCAAGTCATAATAGAAATTTGGGAATGGCTGTGAGACTTAGTTACTTTGAATTCAATTTGATATACACTGACAGAAACATATTTTGAACACAATTACGGCTATAAAGAAAGCATTTCAGCCAGGAGTGACAGTACATGCCTACAATCCCAGTGCTCAGGAGCTAAGGCATAGAACTTCCTTGAGTTTAAAGACAGCCTCAACATAACAAGTACCAGGTCAGGTAGGGCTAAGGAAGGAGATCCTATCTCAAAACACCAAAACAAATTTGCAAACATGAAATGCAAAAGTATAGAGTTGAAAAACAGTATTACAAATAACAAAAACATTCTTTCTGATTAATAAAACTAAAATTTCTGACTACAGCATTTTTGGCTTTCCCAGGTAAACATGTGTTATTGACTTCCACAGCATCTGCAAAGGAAAGATGTTTCAAACTACTCTAGAGTGGCTGGAGAATTGGGTAAGATCACAGGCTGCTCTTGCAGAGGGCCCTGGTTTAAGAGAACCTATACAGCAGCTCATAAGCACCTGAAATTCCATGAGATTCCAATTCTCACTTCTGGCTTTGGAAGGCACTGTGCACATGGTGCCAAGATGTGTGCCGGCAAAACACCCACACCTGCTGTGGAACAATCCTTGCACGCTGTACATATGCATTGCTCCCTCTGGTTAATAAAAGAACAGACTGGCCAGCGGCTAGACAGGTAGAGGCTAGGAGGGACTTGTAGACAACAAAAGAGTACAAAAAAGAAAGAGAAGTCTTAGGAGTTGCAAGGAGACAGGGAGAAACAAGGTGAAACTGTCGTGTTGAAAAAAGGTGCCATCATGTGGCAGAGTGTAGTAAGAAATGTGGGTTAAGTTATAAAACTAGTAACAAGCCTGAGCTGTCGGCCAAACATTTATTATAATTAACAATAAGTTTCTGTGATTATTTGGGAAGCAGCTGGAAAGTCTGCCTCCACATACCCATAAATAAAAAGCTTAAAAATAAATTCTCTAGGAATAAGCTTAAGCTCATGCTGACTTGCAGTGATGACAGACACTAGTCCCTTTTCTCTTCTGTTTGATTTTTACAGTATCACCAAAAAAGGGAAATACATCTGACAGAGAGTTTTGGCTGGAGTCTGTAAACACCTATTACAGACGGAATTAACCACGATGTAATCCAGCTCTACTGCTGAGTCCATCTGTACAATGGGACACATAAAACTCATTGCCAGTTTAACAAGTGAAGGTTTTTACTCAGGAATTATCAAATATGTATTGGTCACCTGTTAGGAAGTGGGCTCCAGGTGGTAAACAAATCTAATCACTGTTCCTTCTTAAGGAGTCCTTAGGAATGACCGTCAAAGGTCATGGTCTGTTCCTCCACTAGAGAAGAAACTGTACACACAGAAATGTGTATCATTCAAGAAGACAGGAGCACATGACAGAACAGGGCACGTTATTTACGACCTTCAGGCTTAACCCACCTGACTCACATAACAAGCTGACGTTCCTCTATTGTTGGAGATGCTCTGAGTACTGACATGGCAATTCTTCTTGTTTACCACAGACATCCTCCTAGTCACCTTGTGCTTTGGGAATTATCCTTACTCCTTTTACAGACAAGGACAGTTTTGGCAGAAAAACAAATGACTTTCCGAATGTTAACATTACTAATGAGTGACACCTGGGATTTTGATCCGTGCTCCCTTGCTTTCATTTGAAAAAAAGATACATAAAATATCTGACATACTCCCCTGAATTGGAAAAGCTCATAGCAACCTAGTCTCAGTAGGCAGTACTACTTCTAGAATATTTCCAATTGTGTAAGAATACTCATATAAGCTGTTTATTAAATAAAAACATTTACTTTTCAAAAAATGTCCAAGTACATATTATGCTAACTCAGATGAACTATGTCATGGTTCATATTTTTCTTGTTCAGGTTTCTGCTTCCCAGAAATTAAAAGTATAATTTCACAGAATAACATGTTAATGGTGGTTTCAATGACACAGAAGAGATAGGAACTAAAAAGGGCAAATTTTTTAAAGAGTACTTTAATTGATGAATTAACGAAGTATGTTTAATAACACATGCTAGCCATGACTGTGGGCCCTGGAGAGACACTGGTAAACACGATAAGGTCCTTCCTCTCATGCACTAAGAAAGCATGTTAGTTTAACAGATCTGAACTTGATGTGTTAGCCGGTCTCAATCTCTGATAATGCTAGGCAATCCTAAGCACTGGTCGAACTATTCTCTCCCCTTGTTGCTGACACACTGAATGAAAGAGAAGGCTGTGCTTCCACAGACTGGTTATAAAAGCAGGGAACAAGCACAGTTACTGCTCAAGCTCTAGTGGACAGCAGGGTGCCCTTCTACATAAGTCTGCTTATGTACCTGTGGGAAGAAGGCACAGAGCCATCATGACCACAGCAAAGCAAGGTGAAGCCTCCCTCCTGGGAAAGGGGTGAGAGCAGTCATTCATCAATGCCATACTCCTGAACAATCACAAGGACAGCACAAGAGCCAGACCCCACAACATCTCTGTGACTTCTCATCTGTGCAGTAGTACTTTCTCATCAGGTCGCAAAGCTCACCAATAGCAACTCAGAAACTTATTAATTATGGGGGCTGGAGAGATGGCTCAGTGGTTAAGAGCATTGCCTGCTCTTCCAAAGGTCCTGAGTTCAATTCCCAGCAACCACATGGTGGCTCACAACCATCTGTAAAGAGGTCTGGCGCCCTCTTCTGGCCTTCAGGCATACAGACAGAATATTGTATACATGAAAGAAAGAAAGAAAGAAAGAAAGAAAGAAAGAAAGAAAGAAAGAAAGAAAGAAAAGAAAGAAAGAAAGAAAGAAAAAGAAAGAAAGAGAGAAAGAGAGAAAGAAAGGAAAGAAAGAAAAGAAAGAAAGAAACATTAATTATGAAGGCTTGGCCATTAGCTTAGGCTTGTTCCACTAGCTCTTATAACTTAAACTAATGTGCTTTATTAATCTATGTTCTCCGTGGCTCAGCTACCTCTACTTTGTACCATATGTCCTACCACTTCAGTGTGTCCCTGGTGTCTCTCTGGTGGAATCTTCCTGCTTACACTTCTCCTCTTCCTCTCTCTCCCTAGAAATCCTGTCTATACTCCTTCCCCCCGCCTAGTTATTGGCTATGCACAACAGATCTGATCTCAGCTTATGGCATGAGTCAGAGGAAGGGGATCTGTGCAGCCTTTAATATCATCAGATGTAGAGGACAGCAGTGCCCGCCAGCATGCACTACATTAGCACTGACAGAACACTACTATTACTGTGTGCATGCATGCCACAGCACAAGAGTGGGAGGCAACTTTGTTGAGTTGGGTCTCTCCTTCCACATTTATGTTGTTTCCAGGAATCAAATCATCTGATTTGTATGCCAAGAACTTTTACTGCACTGACCACCTTGTAGTCCCTTTGATATAACGTGCCATAGCAGCCTTAAGTTGGACTGTAAAACCCTTGTTCTTCAACTATACAGAACTCTGGTTCAGGGTCAGAGAGGAACTGGCAAAGCACCCTGACATGAAGCAAATTCAGTATCTATACAATTTGCCATTGAAGAAATAGAAGTTACCTGTCAAGAACACCAAAAGGAAGAAAGGAAAGAAGGAAGGACAGAAAGAGGAGATAGGGAGAAAGGAGAGAGGGAAGGAGGGAGTGAGGACTAGGGGAGAAAGTTGAGAAAGAAAAAGAGAAAGGTAAAAAATACAAAATTTAAGGGGCCAGCAAGATAACTGAGCAGGTAAAGGCATTTGACAGGTCTGACAGCATTGGTTCAATCCATGGGACACACATGGATGAAGAACAAAAACTGACTCCAGCTGTCCTCTGATGACCACACATGTGTATGCACTGCCCCCAAATGTAAAATTAGTGTTAATCTTACCTATGTTTCATAATTTCAATTATATCTTCAGCATCTTCTTTAGTTGCTTCCTCTCTCAATTCTAACCTTGCTCGTGCCTATGAAAGAAAACAACTATTTTAAAATAAATGATAAATACTGTAACCATTGATTGTGCTGGTGCGTTGTACCTAAGCTTCATTATTCACTGTATTTCACTGTATGGGAAGGGCTGGTGGTGAGTGTGCTCAAAATACATTGTATGCATGTGTGCAATTCTCAAAGAATAAAAATTAGAAAAGTAGTCAGGCAGTGGTAGCGCACGCCTTTAATCCCAGCATTCGGGAGGCAGAGGCAGGCGGATCTCAGTGAGTTTGAGGCCAGCCTGGTCTACAGAGAGAGTTCCAGAACAGGCTGGAAAGAAACCCTGCCTCAAAAAACAAAAACAAAAAATTAGAAAAATGTACAAATAGCTTAAAATATAACCAAAATTTACTTTTACCTACTAATATTTTTTCTGAGTGTTCGTTTTATGAGTTTTGGTTATGAAAATGTTTTTGTCCTTGCCTTTTATTTTCAGGAAAACACAGTTTATTTAAACTCAAATAACAGAGGTGTCAATCATATTTTAGAATCAAAAGAACCTTACCATTCACTGCAGCTAATTTTAACTGCAACAGTACTCAGAGCACCATGCAATGTGACAAACAGTGCTCTTAGAAAGGCTGCCAACACCTACCAACCTGTCACACAATCAAATCAAGTAGTCAAGACACTCGACATATTCCATGTTCTCATATGCTCAACTTGGAAGCCTAGGATTCTAGGTAATCTAACCACTTTTCAGACACTTCAGCAATCTACAGTGTCATTAAAAAAAACTGACATTGCTCGGCATAACTGGTACCTAGAAAGAAATCTATAGCTTTAATATGCTACAAAAGTAACTAAATCTTCTTTAAAAAAAAACTTTTATTCATCCTTTTATATTTTTTTAATTTTTTAATGTCTCCTAGACAGAAGATCTAGTCAATAGTTCAATAGTGAAGAAAACTGATCAAAAGAAATCATAGTATCACAGACACATACATACACACACACACACTCTCTCTCTCTCTCATACACACACACACACACACACACCCTCTCTTACAGTACTAGAGATTGAACCTAGGACTTACACATGCTGAGAAAGCACTCAAGACCACTGAACTATGTCATCTCTTTGTTGATTTTTGAGACATATCACATACTAGGTAACAGTCTGGCCTTGGACTCAATCTGTAGTCTAGGCGTGCCTTCAATTTGCAATCCTCCTGCCTCAGCACCCTAAGTAACTGAACTTATAGGCTGAGCTCCTTCCCTCTTCCTCAAGTCACAGAAAGCATGAATGTAGGGAAATGCAAACCTCTGTGAGACGGATCAAAGATTCCAGCTGCCGGGTGGTGATGGGTGAGCTGCTCATGCATTGGCTCTGCTTGCGGAGCTCCAGGTAGAAGTCCTGAAGAGCCTGGGCAGCTTCTATGGACAGCCTTGGGTGGACATACTGCCGTGCATAACCAACATACTTCCTCAACAGCTGATGTGGAATTGGATCTATTTTCTCTGCAGGGGCCACCTAGAGTAGAATTTTAAAATAAAAAAAATTAAAAAAAAAGTTACATTGTTTAGGTAAATTAGGAAGTTCCAAAACTTCTCCAAATAAACCAAACACTATGGCTACAGCTTCCAATCCCAGCCTTGGATCAGTGGTTCTCAACCTTCCTAATGCTGCGACCCTTTAATTCCTCAGATTGTGGTGACACCCAACCATAAAATTATTTCATTGCTACTTCATAACTTATTTTGTTCTTATAAATCGTAATGTAAATTTGTGATATGCAGGATATCTGATATGCAACCCCCCAAAAAGAGTCGTGACCCAGTTTGAGAACCACTGCCTCAAATTTCAGAGTACCAGGTAAATATCTAGGGATGAGGAGGAAGGTGGATTTTATTTTGGGGGAGGGGTAGATGCTGAGGATTAAATCTAGAGCTCTGTACATGCTAAGTACATAATATACCACTATGACATACTCCAAGCCCCCATCACACAGAGAATTTGCACATTTAAGCACAATGAAACTAAATGATTAAGAAATAGGAATACCTTTAATCTTTCTGATAATGGTTTCTCGGAAACTACTTCAAGTACCGAAGTGTTTGAATCTTGACTGAGCGTCCGAGCTACTGTGGCACTGCTAATGGTTTTCTGCTTCCCAGCTCTTATTGCGATCACGTGTTCAGAAAGTAAGTGGTCATGCTGCTCATTTGGCGTATCTAACAAGATAAAGACCAAATCGAATCTGGACAGTAGGGCACTCCCCATCCTAGGAAGTAGGGAAGAAAGAAGCAGAAAAGCCTAAGAAAGTGTTGACTTGTTTACTAGTTCCATGCACAACTTCTAAGGAACAGTCAATCTTCAGGTTCAAGAAATAAGCTTTCAGCATAGCTGCGTGTTCCTACTCCTCACATACACTGGACAGCTGTGGATGTGGTCTTTCCTCATACAGCAAAGTCACTGAGACCTACATATTCATGGACACAGAGCCTATCTATCAGTGCTTTCATAGCTCTTTTTGACATTTTTTTCCTTTTACATGTATGGGGTTTTTGCCTGCATGTGTGTCTATGAGCCAGCGGTGTGCCTGGTGCCTGTGCAAGTCAGAAGAGGTGATGGAGGAGGGTCATCTGTCTATGTGTTACTTTCACTGGTTAATAAAGAAACTGCCTTGGCCCTTTGATAGGACAGAAAATTAGGTGGGCGGAGTAGACAGAACAGAATGCTGGGAAGAAGGGAAGTGAGGCAGATGCAATGAAGCTCCGACCCAAGATGGACATAGGCTAGAATCTCCCCGTAAGCCACCACCTCATGGTGCTGCACACATTTATAGAAATGGGTTAATCAAGATGTGAGAGCTAGCCAGTAAAAGACTGGAGATAATGGGCCAGGCAGTGTTTAAAAGAACACAATTTGTGTGTTGTTATTTCGGGTGTAAAGCTAGCCGTGCGGGAGTTGGGCAGGACGAAAAGCAGGCCTGCTCGCCTCATCACTACAATCAGAGATGGTTGTGAGCCGGTACGTGCATGCTAGGAACCAAGCCCAGGTCCTCTACAAGAGCAGCAAGTGCTCTTTAACTGCTGAGCCGTATTTCCAGCCATGCTTTGATGGCTTGTCTCATCCAAACGCTGTCTCTCCAGTGCTCGTGTACAGTGACACACAACAGAGTAAAGATGCTACACTCTTTTAGGCATCACACTGAGCCCACTTAAACCTATGGATTTAGGACTAGCAATGAGTACCACAGTGAGATTCCCCATTTCAAAAACAAAGGGGAATGGGAGAGGTAGGAGAGATGGCTCAGTACCCATAACACTCAGGTTCCAGGGGAATCCAATACCCTCTTCTGACATGCAGGCAAAATACCAATACACATAAAATAAAAACAAATAAATCTTTAAGAAAAGTAAATTTCCGAAAGAAGAAAAGAGAAATAAGCTGCTCTAGTCAGGCCTGGTTTTCCCGGAGACACCGTCTTCTCACTTGTCTGTCACTTACGTCTGTTTTTCTCTTACACACATTGCATTCACCCTGTACAAAGTGAATTACAAGTGGAAGCACAAGCCAGGAGGTGGTGGTGCACACCTTTAATCCCAGCATTCAGGAGATAGAGGCAGGTAGGTCTCTGTGAGTTGAAGGCCAGCCTGAGCTAGAGAAAGCTCCAGGTCAAGTATACACAGACAAACCCTGTCTCAAACAAACAAAAAACAAGACCAGAAAAAGAGGAAGTACAAGGTGAACTGTGTTCTTGAAAGAGTGAGAGCACACCCCTTAAGTACACAGCAGGGCCTTCTTAGCTAAGCAGACAGGGATCCTTTATCAGGGTGTGCAAAGCTTCTCACTGCTGCTTCCCACTATTCGGCCTTACTGAGTTTAAACAATTTCTGATTTTTGATGGTGTGAACACTGCAATGCACATTCCACACACGTCTCTGGAGTTGCTAACTATGATCAGGATTTCCTAAGCATAGAGTACTTAGAATAAACAGAATTACAGAATCATACAAGGTGGTTTTCAACATGTGGAGGACATGAGGATTCTTTCCCACTCCTTTAACATAGATAACTGCATCTAAAACCTTGGCCTGTCTGGTAGGCTATGTGGCACCTCACTGTTTTTCCAGGACTTTAGCGCATTTCTGGACATTTACTGGAGACCTGTAACTTGTGTGAGCTATCCACTGATATGCTCAGCTACCTTTTCCCTAGTGATCACAGCACACATTTGAAGAGACTTACTTCAAATTCTCAGAAACTGTTTTGGCTTTATTGTAGTGTCCTCCAACTGGATTTGCAGCGGCAATAATGGAAGTCCTTGCAGGGAGGCTGCAAACCACACCAGCTTTAGCAAGGCTAATGCTCTGCTGTTCCATGGCTTCTAACAGGGCTTGATGTTGATTCCCCATCTTATCAAATTCGTCGATTCCACAAATGCCTACAAGCACAACAGGAAAATAGACAAAAACATCTTTCTCTGGTCAGGTTTCAAATCTGTAAGGCAGAGGTTACTGCACAATGATTATTTCCATTTATTTCTAGAACTTAAAATATCAAGAGTTAGTGAGAACTGCCATTTGTTTTATCTTATTACTAAAGCTTGTGCATTATTCACCATTCCCTGTGGGTAACACACTATGTGGTGGCTCCATATATGAAGATACGCAAGTCTTAAAATGCATCAAGACCTAATCAGTCAGGAAAGACCCAGACATCTAAGAAATGTACTTCTCAAACCACTTAGGATATGCAAGATTAAGTGCCTGCTTTCTGGAGCACAGTCTAGCTAAACTAGGAGAACTGAAAGGGCTGAAGGAAAAGGTATGCCTTCAGCTGAGTCTTTGGGGGACTGTAGGCAACATGATTCAGGTGGAAGAACATAGCTCCAGTCAGAAGGTGCAAACATGGCTCAGTAAAGGGAGGTATTGATTGATGGCACTTGCAGGGACTCTTAACACATAGTACCACCACTGAAGGTCTTCTGAGTACCAGGGATGCCTGAAGCACAAGTTACTGGGGTCATTAGCACATCTGGTAGTGCGCTTTCTCCCACTTGTGCACACCAGTTGGGGGATTCTCTGGAGGGCTTTCCCATGGTTAGACTCATCTATACTCTGCGGTCACCTAATCCCTGCCAGCTAAGCACATATGAGAAATAACTGCTTTTTAGCTTGTTCATGTTTCAAGACCTATACATCTAGTTTGTGGTGCTGGGGCTTGAACCTAAGGCACATTAGAACCAGAGCTCTCTCACATCCTTCAATTCAATCCAGTGCCACTTCTGGGTTCCTACTTCATGGAACCCATTTCCCTTTGTACAGCATTTCCTTTCCGTCATCTCTACAGATGCCCACGTCTAGTTATTTAGACCTTTGCTCTTTTCTTCATATTCACTGAAGCTAGTAGAAGCCTTTCCTCTACATCCTCTCATTTGGCAGGGTCAATTTCCTATGTTGATTGTTAATTTTTATTTTTATGTTTTTGGCTTTTTCAAGACAAGGTTTCTCAGTGTTAATAGTCCTAGCTGCCCTGCAACTTGCTTTGTAGACCAGGCTGGCCTCGAACTCAGAGATCTGCCTGTCTCTGCTTCTTGAGTGCTGGAATTACAAGCACGTGTCACCACCATGCAGCAATTTCTTAATCTAGTATCTTTATCTCATTTTATTTCATCTCTTTGTCTCATTTTATTTCATTAAATTCATGTTCTCGTTAGGTTTCCTGGGAACTTTTCATTGGCACTTGGATTTCAGTTTTGTGCAGACAGGGAACTTTGTTACCTTGTTTATCCTGTTCATGTTTACTGGCTGTTCTGCTCAGGCCTGTTTATACTGTCGTTCCTACCAGCACTTTTCCTTCTCTAACTGTGATCCACCCTATCCCCTGGTGTATTAGTTTATAGACTAGGTTGTTGACTACATTTTGGTAACCTGCAAGCGACTCAGGAAGGGGAAACAAGAGTGACTGGACTCTGCCCCCTCTCTTCCTCTGCTGAGAGGGCTCACCCATCCATGAGGAAGGCACGAGGCTGCTCAACAGAGCACTAGGACAGTGAACCTCCCTCCAGGGTTGGCTGTGTGTACATCACGCTTCCTGTGCTGCCCCGCTGTCCTGTCCATGCCTCTGACAACGATGTTACTGGAAATTCTTAGTTTTTTGCACATTTCCTCCCAAGCGGGGATGAGGTGGGAACAAAATCAAGCAACTCCCTCTCTCGGCTCCTTCTTCACAAAGTATAAAGCGAGGCAGCCAACTTTTTCTGAAAGGATCCATAAGTATCTTAGGTTTAGGAGGCCATAGTTTACATACACTTATGGTTGTTTTTTTTTTTTTTTTGTTCATTTGGTTGGTTGGTTGGTTTTTCTGTACAATTCTTTATAACTATATTTTTAAAAGTTTTAGCTTTATATAGGGCTCTACCTATGGACTGAAGTCTGCTGTCCCCTGGTATCGGTTGTTGTTTTTTTTTTTTTTTATTTTATTTTATTTTATTTTTCATTTATTTATTAAATATTTCTGTCTCTCCCCCACCGCCGCCTCCCCTTTCCCTCCCCCTCCCCCAATCAAGTCCCCCTCTTTCGTCAGCCCAAAGAGCAATCAGGGCTCTCCGTCACGTGGGAAGTCCAAGGAAAACCCTCCTCCGTCCAGGTCTAGTAAGGTGAGCATCCACGAAACTGCCTAGGCTCCCACGAAACCAATAGGTCCAGTAGAATCAAAAACCCGTTGCCATTGTTCTTGAGGTCTCTATCGGTTGGTTTTTTGAGACACAGTTTCTCTGTAGCTTTGGAGCCTATCCTGGAACTAGCTCTTGTAGACCAGGCTGGTCTTCCAACTCACAGAGATCCGCCTGCCTCTGCCTCCCAGTGCTGGGATTAAAGGCGTGCACCACCACTGCCCGGAATGTCGGTTGATTTTAAAGGTCTCATCAGATAGCCTTAGAATCATGGCTCCTCCTCAGTTTCCTGACGGCTAGGATCACAGGCATGTTCTCATCCCTGGGATCTTTTTTTTATTTGTTTTTTCTTATTTTATGTGTATGAGTATTTTGCCTGTATGTATATTAAGTGTACCACAAGTGTGCCTGGCACCGAAGGAGCTAAGAGGGTGTCAAATCCCCTGGAACTGGAGTTACAGATAGTTATGAGGCATCGTGTGGGTGCTGGGAAATGAGCCCAGGTCCTCCCCTGAGAGAACAAGTGTTCTTAATTGCTGAGCCATCTCTCCAGTCCCAGCCCATGGTGAAAACCATGAACTAGAACCACCCTCAACTCTTCAGCTTGTGTGAGTACGAACATTAAGTCACAAAATTTAATACGTAAACCTCTTCTGGTCATTTCATCAGATGCTGAAGGAAAATACCCTTCTTTCTTCCTTTTTCCTCTCCTCTCCTCCCCTCTTCTCCCCTCCCCTCCTTTTTCAAGACAAGGTTTCTCTGTGTGGTTTTGGAGCCTGTCCTGGAACTTGCCCTGTACACCATGTTGACCTTGAACTCACAGAGATCTGCCTGCCTACACCTCCTGAGTGCTGGGGTTAAAGGTGCGCACCACTACCATCTAACTAGAAAGACTATTTTTTAAAAGCTTTATATTTCCTTTTTACCTCACAGCCTTTGTAAAGATTTTAGCAGGATCCTGTTTGTTGCTAGAACTCAGTCCTGTTGGTATTTGTAAAATTCCTTCCTACCTAACTGTGCTAGTTAGCCTCACAGTGTTTAGTTAATCTAAATATATGCAAAACATGGAACTAACATTTCACATCTTACACTTCATTAGTGGTTGTACACCTAACCCTCTAATCACCCCGCCTTCTAAGAAGTAGCCTGGCAGTCTGACAGCTAACTACCCTTACATGACTACTTCCTTCAGCTGAGACCTCAGGGAAAGCACTGTGACTCTGACAAGCACCCGACGACCACCTGCTTCAGCAGGTACTTGCTGATTACTAGCTGTACACCAGTGGCACGCTCCACGCATGCAGAACAGCACCAGAGATAACATCGCCCTCCCCTTGTGAATTTATCTGGCCAGTAAGAGGCAGACAACTGGAAACGTGGTGATACCCGCTCTGGAAGGGAAAGGCAGTCATGCCGATGAGAACAGGCTCTGCCGCAGAAGAAGGCTGAGACGGAGAGACTATTTACGTCACAGCTCTAAGTTCTTCTAGAACACAAGACGGCATCCGTCTCTTTCCTGTTTCAAGGTAATTAGAACAATTTTGAGCTAAGTAACAGTAAGGCTCTCACTGGGTACTCACTGTACACATACACACTAAGCAATGAAAACAAGGCCGTCTACAGGCTAATTCAATCCACTCCATAAGGAACTTACCACAGAACTCTACAGAAATGATCACAGATGTGACAGGGATATCAGGTGGGAGGTGTAGAAACCGTCCATGTTTTATCTGATTATTTAATTACAACATATATTTGCTGTAAGATTCTGAAAACAAACCAGTTTCAATTGTGTAACAGAAATAAAAATGATAGTACTGTATGTTCAATTATTTAACACTCACTGTCAATCTACTGGTTAGGACAGTGCTGTCTAAATGGCTCTCAAACTACAGTAAATTTATCGAAATGAAGAAAGTACACCAGAGGTGGTGCATGTGCCTCTAATTCCAGCACTTAGGTGACAGAGACTGGAGGTAATCCCATTTACACAGCAAGCCCACTATCCTAAGAGGTAAAGTTTTTGTTTTGTTTTGGAGGGTTTTTTGTTTTGTTTGTTTGTTTTTATCGTTTTTTGAGACAGGGTTTCTCTGTATAACAGTCCTGGTTATCCTGGAACTCACTCTGTAGACCAGACTGCTCACAAGCTCACAGAGATCCGCCTCCCTCTGCCTCCCGAGTGCCAACGTTAAAGGCGTGCATCACCACTGCTCATCTGAAGGAAGTTTTTAAGCCCAGAACTATTAATCCCTTTTGTCTCTCACCTTGGTCACCAAGTACCAGAGCACCAGCTTCCAAAGCAAAATCTCCAGAGGAACTGTCTTTTGAAAGAGTTACAGTCAGACCAGAGCTGGTGGTGGTATTTCCACAGACATACACACCACGGGGCGCCACATTGCATGCTGCCTATTAAAAACAAAAGGGTTAAAAGAATCATTCAGAGGGATGGAAAAACTGGCTCATCTTTGTTGCCATGCAGCATGAGAACCTACGTCCAGATCCCCAGCTCCCTTGTAAAAGCCAGTCAAAGCGCTGTAACGTTTAGAATCCCAGAGCTTCAGGAGTGGAAACACGCAGATCCTAGGGACTTGCTGGCCATACATTCTACTCAAAATGAAAAGCTCCAAAGTTCAGTGAGAGACCCCATCTCAAAGAGTAATGTGCAGAGTGATTGAAGACACCTGGCTGCCTCCACACAGTAACACACAGGCAGGCAGACAGGCACACGCACACACAGAGTTAAAAAGGAATCACTGACCACAGTCAACGGTTCAAACCCTGGTAATGTTGTACATGCTAAGTAAGGGCTCTATCCCTGAATTTTTTTTGATGGATATTTCTTATATTTTGGCTGTGAGCCTACCCTTTAATGGCTGAGCCATCTCTCCAGCCCTGATGGATATTTCTGTGTATGCACCACAAATGCACTGGTGCCTATAGAAGCCAGGAAGAGGGTACTGGTTTCCTGGAGATGGAATTACAGGTGATTCTGAGTCACCTGACAAGGGTACTGGGAACCAAACTTGGGTCCTCTGGAATAGCAGCAAATGTTCTCAACTGCTGAGCCACTTGTTTCTCCCCAAGATAGGGTCTCACATAGCTGAGGCTGTCCTCTTCAGAGTCACTATGTGGTACAGAGGATGACCCTGGAGTGCTGGTTTTACAAGGGTACACAACCACAGCTGTCCTTTGTGTGACAAGCATTCTATCAACTGAGCTACACTCGCAGGCCTCTTTGTTAGTCTGTTTTGAGAAGTCTCACCATGATCTGAGAGTGGGGTGGTTTACTAAGTGGTCAGAAGAAAGTAGGAATATAAATGCTAAGTGCTTCCCAGTAGTGCTGTTCTAAAACATGGCCTCTAATATTATAGCTTTTTAAAGTTGCTTTTTATTGTTTTGGGGTGTGTGTGTGTATATTGGTGTAGTACGTGAATGTATTAAGTGTACCACATGTGTGCAGTGCCTGGGGAGGCCAGAAGAGAGCGTCATATCCTCTGGAACTGGAAACACAGATAGCTGTGATCTGCTATGTGGGTACTGGGAACCAAATTCAGGTCCTCTACAAGAGTGCCAATTGCTTTTAATCAGCTAACCATCTCTTCAGCCTCTGTTTTCACTCTTACTATAACTAGTAACCCTTGCCTTGCTATCAGGCTGTTGCAAGGGTTCAGAACAGATTAAAGTACGTTCTTCTGGCCAGAGACCCAAACAAGGATGTAAAGTTTTAAAGGAATGAAAAAGACAGGTTTACTATTCAACCATAGGGAATAAAGATGGCACGTGTGAAGGGTGGTGGGATGAAGATGCAATGGCAAGATCAAAGTAATCCTGTCTGCACACCAGGATCACCTTGGGGCACTACATGTGGACAAGTACTAGCTTCAGGCTGCCTATACTATCCTCAAAGAGTTTCAAAGACAACTGTGATACACAACCAGCGCTCAACTGCTAGACAAAGATTCATCAGCACAGGAGTGACTGCAAGGAGGGGGTTTGTGGACATCCTTAAGAAGGACACTGCTGGGCACCACTCTGGGAAAACTACGAGCTTCCAACAAAATACCTTCTAGAGCCATCACGAACCCAAGAGGAACACACCATCAGGCTCTGGCTGACAGAGACAGAATCTTCCTTGGTGGCTAACAACTGACTGGTGAGAAAAGCTGTTTTGCTTTGGATTCAGAGAAACGGTGGCAATGTACACAGATATCGATCCCTTACCTTTACCAGAATATTCTGAAGCCCTAGCAAGATGCCTATACACTTGTAAGGAGAGAACACATGACCAGCTTTACTTCCTTCTCTGTTCTGTTCATCGCTGTAGTCACATCACAAGAGATTAGCAAAGCATTACTAGGTGCAATAACGGTCTAAGAAAAATAGCATTTCATCATAGTTAATATCGCCAGAGACCAGGATGCCTATGTGGTCTGTGTGGCAGAAGACTAGCCTGATGTGAAAATAGAGCCACATACATAATACATATTACTCATACAAACTCCAGTTCCTCTATACCCCCAGACAAACTAGATCCTCTGCAACCCCAAATGCCATTTGTTGAGAAATGTCACCTGTCAATTATTCATACATTATATAAGCAGAAGGCAAAATACTAAATAATTAATACCTGCAGCATCTGACTCTTCCCCAAGCCTGGATCTCCAACAATCAGGATATGTGGGTCTCCTCGAATAGGAATCCTGTTTTTGTCATCTGCGTACTTCTGGCTACCGCCAAAGAGCGCTAACGTCAAACCTGCTTTAACAAGCTCGTGTAGAAGGAGGGAACAAAAAAGAGAACCATCAAGATGACTAGCAGGAGGCATTCCTGCATGGTTACAGTATGACTTGTCTGTCTGGAGATTATTTTCTCTTCACAGTGCTGATGGAGGGCAAGGCTTGGTACCTAATTAGTCAGAAGCTCTATCCCTAATCTATGCTACCAGCCAGGATAATGAACTGAACTTTATTTCTTTACAATGAAGTCAAGAAACAAAGCCAGGCATGTCAGCAATCCCAGAGCTTAGAGATACCGACACAGGAAGGCTATGTGGGGCAACACAGCAAAAGCCTATTTCAAAAGTAAAAACATCTACAAATAAACTTCTATAACACAACAATTAAAAACAAAGACTGAAAGTATATAAATCAGTGGTATCTTAGACACTGCTAAGAACAACTCTGCACGTCAAGAACCCATTCCCAAGTAAGAAGCACCTGTGGTGCCGACTTTAACCTGGTGTCTAATTACTTTGTCCGTGTGTCACAGGGGTGCATTCCCAGTAGCTGCTGGCAGCTCCCGAGGGCTATTATTTGCCTCAAACATAATCAACTTATAGAGAATGATGACTCAAAATATTAATAACTGGTAAGAGAATCTAATTACTTTTTAGTATTAATATTGATAACTTGATATGCTTTTTGAATGAAGGTTAAGTAATATACTTACTTCATGACCAAATATGACAGGACAAAGTGAGCTGAAAAATAGAAGACAATTTATAAATTCTAACTTAAATTTCATAGGTCCATTAGAAGGTCTACTTTACAATTGGCTTAATTTTCTTTACTTAGTATCCAAAAAGGGAGTAAATTTTACATCTCCTCAATCCCACAAATTTTATTTTTACAGTAAACTTTATTTAATCTATAAAGAGAAGGATGCTTTAAAACCCATGCTTCTCTGAGGGAGTACTTGAAAAACATCTTAACACAACTGATCTGACAGAATTAACACTTAAAATGAACTATTATCAGGTTTTCCACATTCCAGCTTTCTTGTTTTATTTGAACAGACATCTTTAATCTGTGTAGTTAAGTCACTGAAAAGAGGACACTAATAACTAAGCTCAGTACAAATATTAGTATTTGAAGATAGTATAGAATTTCATTTCTTTTCAGTTCAATTCAGAAGGGTCAGATTAAAATGTGAATATAAGGAAACAGACCTACAAGGGCTGGAAAGTGATTCAACCTACAGAGTTCTTGCTGCACAGGTATACCATGTTAAAAAAAAAAAACAAAAAAAAAAAAAACAAGTATAAGCCAGATGGTGGAGCACACGCCTTTAATCCCAGCACTCTGGAAGTAGAGGCAGGGGTATCTCTTGAGTTTAAGATCAGTATGATCTACAGAGTGAGTTCCAGGACAGTCAAGGCTACACAGAGAAGCCCTGTAAAAAAACAACAGCAACAACCCCCGCCCTCCAAAAAAAAAAACCCCACAGATATAGTGGGAAGCTGTAATCCTAGCACTGGGGAGGTAGAGATAGACGGATCCCTGGTGCTCACTGTCCAGCTTAGCCAATCTCTAAGCTCCAGATTCACTGAGAGACTGGCTCAAAACATAAGATGCTTAGCAATAAACACAAGGAACATACCTGACGTCAACATAATGTGTGTGCTCGCGCGCGCGCGCGCACACACACACAGACAGTATTTGCATGTGTCCATTTAGTAAGTAAGGAACAAATAAAAATGGCCAGGGTAGTAGCCAGGAGTAAAGTGTGAATCTTCCTTCTGTTTTAATAAACAGAACCTGGTGTCCCTTGAAACTAATGTTTACCATGTCCCAGTCTAACTGCCACCAGCTTCCTACCAAGCACCTGTGCCTGTGACTTTTCTACGGCCAGAGAAGCATCGTCAGTAGACAAAGAGCAGAACAGAAGTGCTGGGCTGTTCCTCAAATCCAGGTCCCCAGGAGGCACTCTTGTTAGGGCACCAGGCCCGGCTGCCATCCCTTCTCTGTACTACCCCTGCCTTGCTGTTGCTTCTGAGCTCCTCTCCCAAATAAATGACATTTAGCCAAACCGTTGCCTCCAAAGGCATCTAAACTGAAGCATAACTGCTGTGTACTGACAATTCTAATTCTCTCTTCTCTGTCCTCTCACAGTCCATTTCTTATCTAGTACTGGCCAATAAACTAAAGGTCCAGGATGGAAAAACAGTGTGCCTACATCTATTAATATTAATCTGCTAGATTAATAAAGTGAAAGATAATTCTTTAAAAAACTTCAGTTTGGATGATGAAATCACAAACATGAAGATAGAGAAAGAGGCAAACTGGTGAGCAGTGCCGAAGACGGGCCACTAAGAGGCTGCTTCACTTACAGCCGGTGAGGAGTGACAGCTGCCTGAGCTCCACGTGGCTGTTCCTGGCGTCTGCCTGCCTACCTGCCTGCCTGCCCAGACGACCCCTCTGTAGCTCACACATGCTGATCCTATCACAGCACTAGCTTTCCCAGAGTAGGTCAGGGTGGCTATGTGGTGGGAAACTCACACATTTAAAGACAAGAACTTAAGTAACTCAAGACTTTCCTCAGTTGGCAAACTGACATATGAAAAAAAACAGAAAGAAAAGACTCAATTCTGGAGCCAGAAACCTTGATCAATTTTTTATAGAATGTACTCCGAGTCTTCTTCCTTCTTGATTTTCCTCATTTCTTCAAAATTACCCTCAAATTGTCAGAATGCCAAAAGCATACTATATCAAGTAAGACAAGTACATTACTAACTAATAACTACACAGGAAACTTCTGTGTGAGACAGTCATCATTTAAGCTAGGCATCATTTTTCCTAAAAAGGTCTAAGTATAAACACCCCTACCATGAAATAACAAATAGCGGCCTACACGTGCTCTACGGACTCGTTTGTTGCGCATTCTGACTAGTTTCTCTGACAAGTAACCAAGAGCATACTGCCATGCACATCTGTGGCAAAGCCTCGGGTCACTAAGACATACTTGACAATGAGCTTCAGCAGGTTCTCTTCGGCCTGAATCTCTTGGATGGCATAGAGGTCTTTAAGTGAGAACTCCATCAGTGTCCCATGCTGACATCCGTCCTCTGCAGTCTGAGATTTCTGTCCTTTGCTGTTGCTAACAGAATTTGCCTCGATGTACAAAAGGAACATGCACTTATCGTTCTTATTCCGAGAACCTGTAAATTCAAAACATTAAATGTACTGTTTTCATTTCCCATACAAGAACTTGACAGAGTGTTCAACAAGATTTATGACTGAGTAACTTTATTTACTATTCACTTGAGGCTTTTTAGAGACAAGGCCTCAAGAGGAACCTCAAACTGTGACAACCCTTCTACCTCAGCTTCCTGAGGACTAGAACACTTCATTTTACATAGAAAAAAAGAATTCCTAAATTATTTGAGATGCAGAAGTATCTTATAGATAAAAAAAAAAAAGCTAATATATCACTGTTGAGAGACAGTCATGAAGAAAGTTACAACATACCTTCTTCGGTATTTGAGACTTTGACAATTCCAGTAATCGTCACTGTATCTCCTGGGACACAACTATCTACAAGATCATGAACGAGTTCGCATTCGATTGTTCGAGGGATCCGCCCTGCTTCTCTCTGTGCATCAGACATCAGCTCCTGTATCCTAAGGCATTCAACAGTTTCCAGTTAGAATACATCTTCCCTTCAGCTGTTTCTTCGGTACAGTGACTGTTCTGCTGCTCTAGAAGGCAAACTGGTTTTTAAGGAGCTCAATGGTATTTCAAAAATCACTTTAACAGTTCCCAGTTGAGGATGGCAGAATGAACATATATGTATTCATTTCACCTAGCATCCCTCAAGAATCCAACAAATAAGAGTCACCAAAGAAGTGAAGGCAAGTTTGGAGCATGCAAATGTGGCAGTAACAAATGAGGTATTAGTGAAACTTCTGAAAAGAGCAGACAGTGAAATAGTGATGGATGAAGCACAATGCTGTCCAGAATGCACAGACTAAACTCATCAGGGGATAGAGAAGCAGCAACCCAGGGTCTCAGCAGAGCCCCAAGAGGTTCTCAAAGTTGGGGGCAGGCAGCAACAGACAGTACAAAAATAAGTTTTTAGAATTTCTTTGGAAGGAGTTGGCAATCAAGTAGGGAAAGAACAAGAATTTACCATCAGGAGCAAGAACACTATCCTATAGGAATGGGCAAATTCCTTCTAAGAGGGCGCTAAGATGTCCACACAGCTACCTCAACTCCAGAATAAAACCTCCTCAGTTCAGCATTTTAGGAGCTCTAACCAATACAAGAACACTCAAAACTGTCTTACTTGGGAAGAAGACCTGAAGAGGAAGAACTCCAACCCACAGAGAGCAGAAAAGAAGACCCCACCTCTGCAAACAATTTCTCACCTCATCTCTGAAATGGTAGAGGTTCAGGAAGAGAAAATTAAAAAAACAGGAATCTAAGAGTATGTCCAAAGAACAAAATAAAAAGTGTTTTGAGATGGGAACAGAGGGAAATCAGAAAATTAAAATCACCAGGGTAAGTCAGGGTGGTGCATGTCTGTAACTCCAGTGCTCGAGAGGCTAAGAGAATTGTGGGTACAGGTTATGGGCTACAAAGTTAGTCTCGATACAATGACAGCAACATAAAAAGCAAAGGTTTCTAGAAATGGAACACCACCACCAACTTAATTTGGAAAGCAAGCGAGAAATGAAAAGGTGGGGCAGACACAAGGCAATGGGTGATGATAGGGACACACATGACTGAAGTCCAAAGAGAAGATAACTCAGGGACAAAAAGTATCAAGGGGCATGAAGATAACTAGGTATCCTTCACCATTTCATAAGTGCACAAATAAAGAGATTACAAAGAGGGGGAGTTCAGCACCCTAAAGGGAATGAGAGTCCGACAGCATCAGGCGCCCCACTAACAGCAGGGAAGACAAAAACTACGTAGACTTAAGGAGCTGTCATGGACATAAAATCAAAGCTGGAATGACTAGATGAAAACTACGTAAACGAGGAGGCTGGAGAGATGGCTGCACGGTTAAGAGCACTTACTGCTCTACTAAAGGACCCATGTTCAGTTCCCAACACTCATGAGCTGCCTGTAACTACAGCTTGGGGGTTCAATCCCATGCCAATCTTCTGGCCTCTCATGTCCTCTTCTGACCTCTACAGGCACTAACACATTCATGGCACACATTCATGTAGACATACTACACATAAATAAAAATAAACCTTCTTTGCAAAACAAAAAACCAATGCCTTACTTGCAAAACAAATAAAGTAAAATAAACCAATAGTAAATGGCATAAAATGTTGAACAGAAAATGAGCACCTATCATAAAATAGCCCACTTTTAGATGATTATCTAAAACTTCAATATTATCACAGCCGATCATGGAGTATGAAATGAGTCACGACATTTAAGTACAAGATGAACCACTTCTCAGTAGCAATGGGATGTTAATAGTTGTATCCTTTCTAGAATCCAGTAACCAATCAATGTCAAAGAGATAATTAGCATTTTAAAAGTCTCATCAAATAAGCACTGTTTGTAGATCAGATGCCATGATATATATAATAAAACCATAGACTTCCTCGGCAGAACAACAACTCTTTTACTTTATGTTCTGAGTGCTTACTTGATCAACTGCCAGTCCACTGTAACTGTGAGCGGAGAGCTGCGCAGAGGAGCAAAGGACTTCCCTCGACAGGCAGGCACAGGACACTGCAACAGGAGATTCACACGGACTCTGGTAAGCCATAATCACATCTTACAGTAACTAAGTTACAATCTTACCCACTTCCTGTTATAATCCTCAGATATCCTTCTTGGCCCTTTTCTAGCTGACCTTTCTCATTGCCTGTACTTCCTTTTTGCTATGAGTAGCCAAAGCTCCCACCTCACCTCCCGACTGTATACTTATTCCTTTCTCTAAGCCCAGGAACTCTCCCAGTCTTAGGCTCCTTGCCTGCCCCTTCTCCTTCAGTCTACATGCTTTGACCCAATCTTCTTCTTCTGGAAAGTCTTTATTAAGAACCTTCGTTTTAACCCTCAGGTCTCCTCTAGCCCCTTTGCATTGTGTGGTATATTCACTTGACAAGTGATTCTCACTGTATATGCAGGATGTGTTCAAGTTTTCCTAAGTCACTTGTGTGTCTGAAGCTCCAGGTGCGTTTATAAACCTAAGGCACTGTAGCAGATAGGAACAGTGTAACTAACTCCCTGATCAGGAGCGGGAGTCAGTTTCCCCTCCTGGAATCTGCCCGTCTGTGACAGAAGTCATGGTGCATGATTTCCAAGGCCGGCATATGGAAGGCAGCATTCTGCCTACCAACTGTTCTCTCCACAGCAGCTGTCAGCAGCCAAGAGCAGACTACAAGCTCTCAACTGCCATCACGTGTGTGAAAAGCCAAAAGCAGCCCATAAGGAAGGTGCACCTCTACCAGTTCCAGCCATCATGGGCTGGAACACCACGGGGACACAGAGGCAGAATTACCCAGGTGGGAGTTCTTCCCGCCTTCTAAACCAAGAAGTCATGAGAAATAAGAGTCTTGTGGTTTTGAGTTCTAAGTATAAGGCCATTTGCTCTGCAACAGCTCTGATCAAAGACTCTGGGAAAGGTTTTCTGTAAATGGATGTGCCTTCTTAGAGACAGAAAGTAAAGTTGGTTAAGGAACACATCACCTTTGTAGGAAGATTGTACTTCCCATCGGGAAGAGGGAAGCTCTGGATCTCTCCACATGCAGCACAACGGAAAGCCATCTTGGTGCAGAGAGGCTTGATGTTACCGACTCGAACCACAGTCCCTCTTACAGAGATGTACTTCCCATAGCAGTTTGCTCGGATGCTCTTGAGGTGTGTTAAGGGCTCATAGTTGTACACTCTAAAAATAAAGCAAGAATGTGCCTATCTATAAACTTATGATGAACAGAAAGAGTTGTATTTTCACAGGTTCCTTTGGGAGCAGCTGTAGAATTTATCCCAGAAATTTCACATGAGCTAAATTTTATTAAAAATAAAAATTGCTGGGGGCTGGAGAGATGGCTCAGTGGTTAAGAGCACTGGCTACTCTTCCAGAGGTCCTGAGTTCAATTCCCAGCAACCACATGGTGGTTCACAACCATCTGTACTGAGTTCTGGCGTGTGGGCATACATGGAGGCAGGATGTTGTATACATAAGAAATAATAATAATAAAAAGAATGTTTAAAAAAAAAAAAAAAAAAAAAAAAATAAAAATTGCTAATCTCATATATTGCCATCTAGGGAAAAAGCGGGAAGGAAAGAATTAATGAAAAAAAAAAAAAAGGAAGCCACTGTGGAGTGTACGCCTTTAATACCAGAACCCAGGAGTCAGAGGCAAACAAATCTCTGAGTCCAAGGCCAGCCTGGTCTACAAAGTGAGTTACAGGACAGCCAGGGCTAAGAAAGAAACCCTGTTTTGAAAAACAAAAAACAAAAAACAAAAAAAAAAAACAGGGCTGTAAAGATAGCTCAGAGGTTAAGGACGCTGACTGTTCTTCCAGAGGTCCTGAGTTCAATTCCCAGCAACCACATGGTGGCTAACAATCATCTACAATGAGATCTGGTGCCCTCTTCTGGCATGCAGTCATACATGGAGGCAGAACACTGTATTGTATACATAATAAATAAAATCTTTAAAAAAAGAAAAACAAAAACAAAAAACCCAAACCAACAAAACAAAACAAACAAAAGAACAAAGAAAGGAAAAATAATTTCAAAAGGAAAATTCTATAGATAAAGTGACTCTAGAGTTTCTAACGTTTTTCATGTTTCTCTCTCTCTCTCTCTCTCTCTCTCTCTCTCTCTCTCTGTGTGTGTGTGTGTGTGTGTGTGTTTTATGCTTAGTTTTGTTGCTGTTTTGAGACATTTTGTACACTGTGAAGAAGTGTCACTCTGGTTGGTTTAATAAAGAGCTGAATGGTCAATAGCTAATTTCCAGGCACAGAAGATGCTAGGAAGAAGGGTGAAGATGCCAGGAGACACAGAAGAAATATGAAAACAGGATGGACAATATTAAATGAGGTAAACAAGTCTCAGGGCAGCACATAGATTAATAAAAATGGGTTAATTTAAGTTATAAGAGCTAGTGAGAAACAAGTTCTAAGCTATCAGCCAAACTTTCATAATTTAATAAGAAGTCTCTATGTGGTTATTTGGGAGCAGGCTGGAGGGACAGAGAAAGACTCCCTACAGAGACAGGCCTTGAACTCAGATATCTGCCTGTCTCTGCTTCTCGGATCTTGGATTAAAGGTGTGCACCACCACTCCTGGCCTAACTTCTTTTTAAAGAGCTGCTACAAAATATCTCCTATAAATTTTTGGAAGAGAAAAACAAAACCCTGAAGTTTAAAGAATTTAAAAACTCTGGAAATGATGAAGTAGAGAATATTTACTCCCCTGTGTCTAATATAATTCTAAGAATTTAGTTAAGTATACTTCACAAATAATCACATTTATATAGTAGTCTTAACAGGTTCAAAAAACAACCTTTACAAAAGTTTTCAGGTCAGGAAATCAGCTTACTGGGGTAGAAAAGTATGAACTTTTATCATGATGTGTTAGAATAATCCTCAGTAGGTCATTTGGTTATGGTACTAAATATGCAAGGAACATTGGTTTCCTTGTTTATATAAACGGAGGTTCTCGTTCTGTTTTTGGCTTTTTTTTTCCTTTCCTTTTCTTTCAGCATTTACCGATTAGTGTGTACAAGGTCACACATGAGTGTACTATGGCGTACACGTGGTGCTCAGAGGACAACCTGTGGGAGTTGGCTCTGTCCTTCCACTATACAGGTTCCAGGGACTGAGCTCAGGTCATCAGGCTCAGTGGCAGCATCTTTTACCCACTGAGCCATCTCACCAACCCAAGGTTCTTGTTCTTAAATACTTTTCACTACACAAAAACATGTGAGCAAGAAAGAATACACTGAATATAGTTCACAAGGGAAAAAATACAAATGACCAACAGATATTTGTAGAATTTCACTGTCAGTTAGGCACCATGGAAAAGCAAGATAAAACTGCTTTGAGATTTCATCTCAGTCAGTAAAAACTACTATCATTAAGAAAAAAAAATGGTAAGAAACATTGTCAGGATCTTTCCTACACTGCTGAGGAAATGTAAACTGAAAAAAATCAGTAACCCTAAGAAATGGAAAACAGAATTATTATATGACTCGGCTATACCACTACTGGGTATAAACCTTAAGGATTCTAAGTGAGTACACTCACATTTACTGCTGTACTACTCACAAGAGCCAAGATAATGAACTAGTCTTGATAGCTGTAATAGATAAATACATAGGGAAAATGTGGTACATAACACAATTTTATTAAATTGTAAAAAAGAATGAAATTATAACACTTATAAAAATGGATAGAATCAGAGATGATTACATTAAGTGAAATATGCAAAACTCAGAAATATACACTGCATGCTTGTTCTCATAGATGAAGTACAGATTTATAGATTTATAGGCACACACATGAACGTAGAAAGGGTCATAGAAGTGGGGGAACAAGTCTGAAGGGAGATAGGAGGGGTAAACAAGAGAGGGTAACAGAATCTCTGTGCCATGAAAACAGAAGCAAGGACTATTTAAGGAGAGGAAGGGATCCAGTCAAAGGCTGAGAGGGGAAATAAGTGAGGCCAGTGAGGGATGGGAGGAAAATAAAAAGTCACGATATATGTATGCATAAATGTTTCACAATGAAATCCATTTGTTTTACAACAATCAAAAGTTATTGAGAAAAAAATAGCATCAAGTTTCTTACCTTGCAAAAATATGTGGCACATTTACCATGGTTTCCCCATCATTAGACAATCCCTCTTGAGCTTGTAACTCAGCTGCATGCCGTTCAAGGTCCTTGGTTAATACCTTAGTCAAAAATTGAAAAACAATACTCTTTAAGCAGAACTCTCAGAGAGAACCCAAAGTTCATGAAGAACTCAGAAAAAAAATAAATAAATAAACAGTACTGTAATAGTCAGTTAAGAGACTGGTAACCGATTATGACTATTTTGCAGTATATTATTTCATTTGGGATCTTCTTGTACCTGTACCAGAAAACTTCAGCATCCCTACCTTTTGTCCCAAATAAACCTAACATTAAAAGTCCTTACATTGGGGGCTGGCAAGATGGTTCAGCAGTTAAAAACACTCGCTGTTCTTGCAAAGGACTGAGGTTCAGTTCCCAGCACCTGCATGGTGGCCCAAGTCCAGTTCTAGAGGACCCATGCCTTCTTCTGACGTCTTTGGGCACTAGTCACACATACATGTGGGCAAAGCACTCATACACATAAAATAACATTCTGTAGGGCATGCCTCAGCGTGAGCCAGAGCAGGAAGGATGGAAAGGAATTGTGCTTAAGAGCATGTTAGATGAGTAAGGAGATGGCACAGCTGCCTGGCTAGGGAAATAATGGACTGGATGAGTCTGAAGGCAAGAGGCAGGGTTCCCAGTGCAGGGTGTTCAGCGGTGCACCTGGATGGCCTGACCTCCCCTGCAGTGTCCAGATTCTACGTATTCATTTAAGACCTATCCTAAGCCCACATCTTCCCTTGAGCTTTCCCCATTCTACCCCACCTCTGAAGGCACCCAGCACTAATCTGTGCCTTTCCTGGGATCTGCTTCCCTTTACCTGGAAGCACTTCGGTGGGTGCTTTCAGGTGCTGTGTCGTCTGTCCCTGAGGAAAACTGATACAAGCACAGAACAACTGTCACTTTCAGTCTACGCATGGGACCCTCGAAGAAGCGATTTTCCTGATGCTTAAGGAACTCACATTTGAGGTCAGTCCTTGTGCTCCAAATTCCTGACACCATGCTTGTTTTATATTTCATATTAAATCAGACATCTCCTCAAAAAGAAATCATAACTTCTATATCTTGAGTAAAATTAAGCTGATTCAAGGAAATTGTATATAGGCTGAATTTGTTATCTCCTAGGGGAAGTCCGCAATCCTTAAATTCTAACCAACTTCTGTTAGTAAAAGCTAAGTACCTTTTAAAAAAGTACTGACATTATGGTATCTCCATTTAAAACATTGGCTAAATTTACCTGATGTATTGCCATACCCATACACGCCAAGGTTTTCTCAGGGGTATCTCTTAATGCATTTTCTATATCTGGTATCAAGTTAGTTATTTCATCATCTTTTGTCAGCTCTTTAAAGTCCACCAAAATGCTTCCCTTTCTTTCTATTTCATCCTATAAAAGATTAAATCTTAAATATAAAAATTGCTTTTTTGCAAGTCAACTATCATAATTATTTAGTATGCACTTTGAGAAAGCATGGAATAGTCAACACAGTGGTAGTTCTAAGCTTTCTTACATAGCTGTAAAATTGCAAATATTTTCATGTACACACTTAACGAACTTTTAAAGTTTCTATTTATAGTAGTATCTCTAAGGACGAGAAAGCTTACGTAGAGAGAACATAATTCGCCTAGGCCCACACTGCTGGATCTAAGTGACACCCACCCAACTCCAGCGTCACACTCACTAGCACCTCAAATACAATGTCCAGTTAGCTGTCACTTAAAGACAGACAGACTGTCAGTGTTGTTGTAGAAAGCACTTACCTTATCATAAAGGTCAATATGCCTTGTGAAAAATTTCTCAAAAGCTTGAATCTTCTCAATAAAAGGAGAGTTATCACTGTAAACTAATCCAACAAATACAGCATTAACACCAATAATCAAACACAGAAGCATGTATATTTTCCTGAGACAGATCCCTAGAAACACCACAAATTTCCCCCCTTACTTACTTTGTATTGTGATTATATCTGAATACTGATATGAATACTTGAGATTCTAAAAAGAAAATGACATCTGAATAACCTGAAATATCTATAAAAGTCCAAACATCTGAGAAACTTTCTACTGAGTCTTGAGTATATCAATTCAAAATATCTCATACAATAAGCTTAAACTAGTCATTATAATAAATGTAAAGCCATACACATGAACGGAGCTAAACATAATCACTATCTTTGCAAAGTAAATTCTACTTGTTCAGACTGCCACCTTTCAAATTATTTCTGAGGACTGAAGACAGATCACAGACCAATGCTTAACTGTAATCTCAAAACTATAATGCTGCTTCAGTCTAGTGAAATAGAGCTGGTCAACTTCAAGCAAGGTATCTCTTAAGTCCCATCTTTAGTAATCTAAAGGTCACTGAGCTAACTACTAGGACAATAATAAAAATGTTGGTGGTTAATGTATCATAAAGGAATTAAAAGATTGTCTGTGAAACACATCTATCAAGTTAATAGGGAAGGAAAGAAGAATTCATTCACAGAATGAATACTGAAAGTCACAAAGACAGGATCCTTGACCACAGCAATATAGTATACTAGGGAGGAAAAACACACAGCTCTAGCTGGGTGGTGGTGGCGTACGCCTTTAATCAGGAGGCAGAAATAGGCAGAGTTTGAGGCCAGCCTGGTCTACAAGAGCTAGTTCCAGGACAGGATCCAAAGCTACACAGAGAAACCTTGTCTCGAAAAACAGAAACAAACAAAAAAAATCCACAGCTTTAAATAAAAAGAACAAAAAACACATTTCATAAAAGATATAACAAGCATGTAGATACCATAAAGAAGGAAGAACAACAACATCTCCACAGTTCACAAAAATGTCTGATAGTAGATGGTATTCTTCTCTACACAGACTTGAAGTGGCATCTAACTCTTGGTTTCAAGCCTATTACTCTGTTTCTTGTTGGGACACTGACATCTCTGCCCAAGTTCCCAGACAACCTTTAGGTTTAGCCAACTGGAGACACTGTAAGGCGGCAAGAAGTATGAAATAAACTATTCTTGTTTTTATTCATTCTTTTAAGATTTATTTTTATGCATATGTGTGTCTGCGTTAAGTATGTTACATGTGCAGGTGTCTGCAGAGGCCAAAAGGAGGTTTCAGAGCGAACTTTCTTCTGGAACCCAAGTTCAGACCCTCCAGAAGAATAATAAGTATGCTTAACTTCTGAGCCACCTCACCAGCCTCTTGTTCCAGTTCTTTTCAGTATCTCTCCTACTGCACAGAACAACTATAGTTCCAAGCTCCAGGATCCAACCAACATCTGATGAGTCCTTAGTTGCTGGGCTCAACCAGCTTCATTCATCTGTGTTCTGAGCACAAAGCAGGGTGCCTTCCTAAGTCCTAAAGCACAGCCTTGGAGGGTGCCCTGAGATTAAAGCGACATCTCTACTGTTCCTCCACCTTTGAACTCCCAACTTCTGGCAGCCTTGGAATGTCTAGATGTTTGTTCTCCCTCAGCCACAGGGATCAGACTGCTGTGTCTGGAAATCACTGCTTTCCAGGCGGCTACCTCAGTGTTCCCTTTCTGCTTTTTGAGTCTTCCACATACACATCTAATTCTTTGTATTAAATCCTTCTTTGAGACACTCACCAGTTTGTTTTCCTGATACATGCATAAAAACAACACTCCTAACAAATGTTTGGGAGAGTAGAAGGCATGTTATCAGACAGCCAACTGAATCACGGTAGCATCCAGAAATGGATATCTAACTCCTGGTACGTTTAAGCTCTTTAACTCTACCTTCAGAGAAATAAAGCTTCCAGCCCTTATACGGTATAAACTGATCCAACGTTGACTGTAGACTTAAAGGCTGTGAAGTCTGTTCTGAAAAAGCAGAACATGATGTTAGTAAAAAACAAAGCACTGTTTTCACTCCTAGTCCCTCCTCCCAGGGTCTATTAATAGAGTCTAAACTGGACAGTTCAATAAAAATAATATCCTGCTGTCTTCTAGGCATGAATTGTTTTCTTTTAACACTTGTTTATGCATGTGTGTGTTGTCCGTGTGGGCCAACACATGCCAATGTGCACATGTGGAGGTCACATGATGGCTTGCAGGAGTCAGTTCTCTCCTTCCATCATGTGGGTTCCTAGGGCCCTGAGGGTCACCAGGCATAGTGGCAGGCACTCTTTCCCACTCCACCATTTCCTGGCCCTTGAGTTGTTGCTTTCACGAGAACGCACTTACCAGAAGTGTGCTTTCCTGTGGCTTTACTCGGGTCAGCTCTGTCCTCTCTTTCTCTCCAGCTTCCTGAGAAGCGCCCGCCACCTCTTCCTCTCTTCCAGCTTTGGAATCTTCCCCGTCCAAAACCTCTTCCTCTATATGCACCACTCATGTCTTCTAAAGGTCAACAGCACTCCTAAAAATGTATTAATGTAGTAAAAGGAGGAAATACATTAAGTATTGTGTTTGAGAACTTGCACATAGGCTTGCAAAATTTCATGCCACAGTAGAAAGCTTACGTCTTGTGTAATTATTTAAGAATTTGTTTGTTTTTCGAGACAGGGTTTCTCTCTGGCTTTGGAGCCTGTCCTGGAACTAGCTCTTGTAGACCAGGTTGGCCTCGAACTCACAGAGATCCGCCTGCCTCTGCCTCCCAAGTGCTGGGATTAAAGGTGTGCGCCACCACCGCCTGGCCTCAAGAATTTAATACCCATCACGACTTAAGGTACACTACAGCCGTTTACTCAGCAGCAGTTTTCAAAGAACCACCAAGAGTGAAATAAAGAGGGTAACTTGAACCTGTCTGCAGTGTTTGAGACTATTATTAGGCAAGCATAATCCCCACCTCTAAGATTCTAGGGCTATATCGTAGTTCAGTCTTTGTTGTATTATTTTCTGTGGCAAGCTGTCCTAAACTGTTCTAAAGGATAATAAAAATCCACTTAAAAATGCCTATTCCACTGCTAAAAAGTACTAATGATATATTCATAAACTGCGGTGAAATCCATTAAAGGAGCCTATTCTAATCTCGAAAGGGTTTAGTTAATAGCTAAAAGGTTCGCAAAGAAGCAAACTAATAAAAATTAAGCTTGTTTGTAATAACACTGAGACAAAAACACAAGCCTTCAGGACCCTCAAGATGAGACATCCCATCACAACACCACGTTCCACATCGACCCAATAGGATAACATACGGGGGAACGGTGGCAAGTCCAACATATATTTAGGGAAGTAAGCCACCCGCAGTCCCTGACTTCATTCGCGTCCCGTCGTCCTAATTGCCGGAGTCCCCGAGTCCTCCCAGCCAGCGACCGGGCCTAGGCGGTGCGCACGCGCACGCAGGGCTACGCGGACACTCAGGTTCCAGAGCAGCCCGGGTGCCAGGGTCGCCGAGCACCGGAACGCGAGACGCAAGGCGGGTAAAGCCCGAGTCCAACACCACAAGCTAAACTCCAGGTTACTCCAGAGTTCTTTTTTGGCGCGTCTATGACGCTTAAGGAAGGCACGAGAACGGGAGGGCGGGACGAAGCGTAGCCAATCAAAGAGTTCAGCCAGACGGAAGCCGCGGGGCTCCCGGAAGCGGGAGCCGGAAAGCGGAAGCGGCGCGCAGCACGTGGGGGCGGTGCTGGCGGAAGGGTAGATTCCTCTGGGTCGTGTGGTGCTGCTGACGGCTGGAGCCGGTTACGGAGTTTGGAAACGGTCTGATGTCCATGGAAGCATCAGCGGAGCAGCCAAGCCCGCAGCCCGGGGAGCACTGCATCCGTGACGGCGACTTCGTGGTTCTGAAGCGGGAAGATGTGTTCAAAGCAGTGCAAGTCCAGCGGAGAAAGTAAGTCAAGTTACTGGCCTTGGCCGGCGCGCCCCATCACCTAAATAATCACCCCCTCCAGTGTCCCACTCTTGGTTCTTTAAATCCGGCCCCCCAACCGTTGTTGCCATCACTCAGAACTTCCTACCACAGAGGCCGTTTCCCACTGGGATCTTTTTGCATCCTTGGCCTCTAGGACTTCATTTGCCCCTTTCTCATTCTACAGTACTCGCCTCTACCTTTGATTCCCCAACCTTCTACCTTCAGCGCCGGATTCCCTTCCCAGGAATTCCGTTCTTGGTACTGCCGTCCCCGAGGGTGCTTTCCTTAGGTTCTTAGGGTCTTCTCTATTACGGAACTCCTCCAGCCTTTTACATTGAGATCTCTTCATTATGGCTGACTCTCATCCCCACCTTTCCCATAAATTTGACTTCCTCTGTAAGAGAGAGGAGGGAGGAGAGAGAAAAAAATCTCTTACACTTAGTCTGACTTTCAGGTAGGCAGACCTCTTCTCGACCTCAGCGGGAAAAATCTGTCTTCTATGAATAAGAAAATCCAAATTCCTACAGTGTGCAATTACTGTGAGCCCTTCTTTTTATATCAAGGTATTAAAGGTCCTGGAAAATCGAACTGTTCACAAACAGTTCCACTTAAGAGCTCAGAGCTCATACATAATTGGGTTTAATTGGGTTTGATAACTTTGTGACAGAGCTGATTAAGTTACTTAATCCTGATAGCTTAGTGATGGTTAGAATTTATTGGGATATTAGGTTACTTTGGTACAGTGAAGTTTTCTTTTGTACGTATGTATCATACTGCTTCATTATTTGCTTGATTGTTGTAGTGCAGAGGCTCTGCATGTTAGACAAGGGCTCTGCCGCTGAGTCACATTGCCATTCACTTGCTACTCCTTGAAAATAAGTAAATTGTACAAGATCAGGAGAACAACTCTTTGTGGGTCAGAAAACTGGGTATCATGAAATTTGGAACCCCTTCTAATGCTCACTTGGCATTAAGTTATTTTTGCTACTGTTTGATTCAAACCATTGAGTAGTATTTGAAATGGAGCAGGAAACAGTAAAAATCCTAAGGGCTGGGGATGTAGCTCAGTTGCTCGAGTGCGTGTCTGGCGTGCTCCAAGCCCTAGGTGTAGTTTCCAGCACTGCATTGATAGACTGTTGGTGCAGGCCTGCAGTTCCAGTGCTTGGGAGGCGGAGGAAAGGGAGATCAGAAGTTCAGGGTCATGCTTGAGAGTCTGAGGGCAGCCTGACCAAGGGCTCAACAAAATAAAACCAGTTAGACAGGCAGCAGTGTCCAGTGCATCAAGTCAGTTTGTAACCAACCTTTCTTGGCACAAGCACAGTTTGATAAAGAAAAAAAAAAAGATCAGGGGGGCGGAATGTTCATTCTCAGCTAAAATCAAATTTTTTTTTTGTTTTGATTTTTTGTTTGTTTGTTTGTTTTTTTTTTTTTTTTTGGTTTTTTAGACAGGGTTTCTCTGTGGTTTTGGAGCCTGTCCTGGAACTAGCTCTTGTAGATCAGGCTGGTCTCTAATTCACACAGATCCGCCTGCCTCTGCCTCCTGAGTGCTGGGATTAAAGGCGTGCATCACCACCGCCTGGCTAAAATCAAAAATCTTTTGAGCATTTTAAAATTCTCCATTGATAAGATTTTTTTGGTAGTTGAAATTAGAGAAGTCTTAACAACTGTCCTCATTGCCACTGTATTTTTGTGAACTCAGGTGGGCTCTTAAAGTGCTCCTAATAGAGACAACTCTTATCCTTTGCTGGATTTTCAGTAACCAACATATAAGACTCAAAATATTTGCTCAGCTTGGGCCAGATTTGCAGCCCCTTAAAGCACCTGGTGTTAAACACTGAAGCTGGCCTGAGGGTCATATGGTTCAATTGGCATTTGATGAATGAAGCTAGGGAGATGGCCCAGTGAGTAAAGCTGTTAGCACACAAGCATGAGATATAGTGGTATACATGTATCTGTGATGTCAGCATTCATCCAGCAAGAGGGAAGCAGAGACAGGAGATGCCCTAGAAGTTTGAGGGCCAGCTGGCCTGACATACTCAGCAGTAAACAAAAGAGAATTTGCCTCAGAATAAGATGGAGTTCGTCTCCTGACTTCCACATGCACGCTGTGGTCCTGAAACATACATGTACATATACCACACGGATGTGCGCGCACGCACACACACTAAGAGTAGAAACCGTTTTTACTAAAAGATGTGATGCACAAAGAGGTGACCGGATAGAGAACCCTGTCACGTGGAGGACCAGCAGCAGTGGGAAGCCCATTCTGCGAGCCTGTAGAAACAGAGAAAACAAGGGAGGAGTGAGAGGGCGCAAACAGAATTCACCAGGGCCAGTCTCAGAACTCAGAATGCTGTGTGTGCCCGCTGGGCTCTGGCGCTTCCTCGGGTACAACGCTCTTGTGTCAACTTTGGCTGGATGATATGGAAAAACACTGCAGACCTGTATGAGTCCCCCAGCTTTAGCTCCTCACACAAGCAAGCACACACAGCAGGTGTCCTTGTGTGTTATGTGACATACTTCTGGGGAGTCATTACACACGTGCAACCCAGAGGCTGTAGAGCAGCTCCAGAGTTGAACTTCTCTCAGCAGTCTGACTGGTCAGAGTTGTCCCCCACACACTCTACCCAGCGTGTTTACTCCTTTTAATGTTGATGGGTAGGAGACCTTCAAGAATTTGAAGATTTTGTTCTCCAGTGTGTGACCTGTTGCTTGAAAGCTGGTGTCTCGTCCCCACCTAGAGGAAGTATTTCAGTTTGGAGGGAACACTGCAATTCAGAAGACCATGTTTCAACACTGTGGCTAAGGCCAGTGTGGCCTGGAATTTAGCATCTTAAACAGTACAGTTTTCCCAGGGTCTCAGATTTCTGTCCTGGAAAAGGGCATCCCAGGATTACTGTGAGGATGGAAAGGGTACACAGGCTGCTTAACATCTAGTTATTACTCAGCAGGGATTCATTTCCTTTCTTTGAAGGGGAAGGGATTTTGTTGTGTGCTTCCCTTTGAAAGTAAGTACAGGGCTGAGTGACAGGAGAGCCCAACGCCCCGCCCTCAGCAGTGCACCGTCAGTGTTCACTTCAGTTCAGATGTCTGGATTGCCACTAATGTTTATTTCTAATACGGGTTATTAGGATTTGCCACTTCTCTAGTAGAATAGCCAGTTAGACAGAGACCAGGGAGTTTGAAAAATTGTTGTCGTCTCAGCGGTTATCTCGTTAGGGGTTTTCTAGTGCCAGCGACAAGAGATATCTCTACATCCTCATGGCCTGGGAATCTCGACAGTCAACTGCATGTCGAGATCTTCAGAATCTGTGAGTTTAAGCAAAGTGCAAGCAGATCTGTGCCCCATAAAAGGAGTATCTTTTTTCTTCTAAAAGTCAGTGTTTTCCTAGCTTCTTTATGAATGTTTGTCTCTCCTCAGCCTGGTTCTCTCTAGTTCATTTGTCAGGTTTGTACCTAGAAGCAGTGCTGTTCACTGTGCATCGTGAGAATGAGTGCCCCTGTTGTAGCACGGATGTAAAAGAAGTCAGTTGACTGGTCGCTTTTCCTTCCTCAGGAAAGTAACGTTTGAGAAACAGTGGTTTTATCTGGATAATGCCATTGGCCATAGTTATGGGTCAACATTTGAAGTGAGCAATGGAGGATGCCTTCAGCTCAAGAAGAAGAAGGAAGAGCCTACTTCAGGTACCCCACGCGGGATGTATGAGATGGACGGTCTACAGTTAGCTAGGCAGACTTCCATTTAATTTGGATGCTCTCCAGAAAACTTAGCTAAAACAAGAGGTGATCCTAAAAAGCCAAAGCTGACTTGAGGGGCTGATGGACTAGGTGTAAAAGGGAACTTGGGAAAAGAAGGGTTGCAGATGCGGGCATGTAGTTCAGTTGGTAGGGCATTTACCCAGTGTGCACAAGGCCCCAGCTTCATCTGCAGCACACCATGAGCGTGTAATTGAAGTACTTGTGGGATTGAGGTGCGAGAATCAGAGTTCAGCTTCATATGGAGCTATATCATGAGCTTGAGGCCAGCCTGTGTTACCTGGAACTTATCCCAAAAAGAAACTCTGAGGAGTTGGTGAGATGGCTCAGCGGGTAGGCCGACTTGTTTCTTCTAGAGCACCTAGGTTTAGTTCTGAATGCCCGTATGATGCTCACAACCACCTGTGGCTCCAGTTCCAGGCATCTGATACCCTGTTCTGAGTCCAGGCACTAGGCATGCATCTGATACACATACATACATGTAGGCAAACACTCATAACAAAATTAAATCTTATCTTTTTTTTTTTAATTTTTGAGATAGGGTCTCTACATAGCCCTTGCTGTCCCTGACATGTAGACCAGGCTGGCCTCAAACTCAGGGATTCTCCTGCCTCTGCCTCCCTAGCGTTGAGATTAAAGGTCTGTGCTGCTATGCCCAACTCTCTAAAAAAAAAAAAAAAAAATTTTTTTTTTAAAGAAAACATTGTGAAATAATTTCAAATGAGGGCCAGCAAGATGGCTTAGTGGGTAAGGACCTGTTACCAAGTCTGACGACCTGAATTCACTGAGACCTATTTGGTGGGAGGGGAGAAAGAACCATGTCCTAGGACCAATGTGCACCACACCACGTGTGAGCCCACACATATACAAATATATGTAAAATTAAG